CCCCCCCCCCCCCCCCCCCCCCCTTCCAAAAATTCATGTTAGCAATAGGCTGCTGCATGTTCGTAAGGATCCGCGGATATGTAAACAATCCGAATATGTCTAGACTCCGACGTCCTCCTGCATGCATAATTTGAGCAATTTTGCTATTACTCTTAGCGTATTCCGTATGTATGTCGGAATTTGAAACCATTCCCGGCTTAAAATATAGTACCCAGAGCGTTCTTCTGATTCTTTTCGGCTGTCTTTATAATTCTAGGCCTTCAATCCAATATCTTCTACATACAGTAGCTACAATATATCAATCTCAAATCCATCTCCCAGTCTTGGTGGCCTCCGTTTCCGTTCAGCGCGTCTCTATGTCTCCTTTCCTTCAATTACCATTACTAGGAGTTCACATAAATGTAGAGACTCAGATGTACTATTTCTAGGCCGGTTTTGCCTTGCTGGTGCTGCTTGGATCTCGACCTGTGTAGCAGGTAGCTGGTCATCCTCCTCCTCCTCCTCTTTAGCCTCTTCTTCTTTCTCTTCTTCTTCTTGGTCACTAACTGCATTATACTGATCGAGATCCATGAGTGGTTGAACAGAAGTTATTTCTTGATCAAGTGCAGCAGCCCCTCTCCTACAGATATACTCCTTCGCCAAATTAACCTCTTCCCGTTCAAGTTCGAATTCTGATGCAAGTCGATGTAGCACCAATTCCCTAATTGTCCCTGGCTTTAGCCATGATCTGTAATAGAAACAGATATTGTGGGCGCAATTGCAAAGATGATGAGCACCAGTCCCACTTGTATGAGTAGACAAGATGCGGCGGGCGACGCTGGTAAGTACCGGGAACTCATCTTCATACTCCGTCCAAGAGGCTCTAGGCTAGGATACAACCCTAAGGTCTGCATTGATCTCCAGGAAAGGTCATTCAAGGGTATAGATGGATAGAAAATGACAAATCTCTAAATACATGTATGTGTATAAGTTCTTGTTATCTAGCCCTTCGTACTCCCTAATGTCTCCCTAGGGTATATCTTGGAGTCCCCGTTTCCTTCTGGGTATACTCATTGGAGTCACGGCAGGGGTACATCTTTAGCATTAGCCACATGTGGGTTTACCGTCACCAAGTATTAGAAAGTAGTCCACTCTCACCTGTGAAATCCACTTGTTTATTCTTTAGTATAAATACGTAGTATACATACAAATGAATTATCACCCACGATTGACGGCAAACGTTGCGAATGTCACAGCGGGAACCCATGAGCCAGATGGTTCTTCAAAAAGCCCTCTGGGTCATAATTGGCCTGAATCTCTCGCATGCGTCTCAGGCTCTTACCACCGCCATACGCAGGGAAGGGATCTTGGCCCTTGCCTGCATCGTTGAGAAAAACGAAAGGATGGTATAGCCCCAACGGTTCGGTTTGGCGACGGATTGATTTGGCCGCATTGCGAGAGAACTGATACATTGTGTCATCGTCTTCTGCGTTGCTCCAGGTAGAGGAAATCAAGCCCGCTAGAGTCCGTATCGTCAGTCAAGTGGACATGCACCCTGTGAAAGAGGGAGAGGAAGCTAGAATATACCAATAAAAGGCCCATCCTCAGGATCTAAACCAATTGCATCCCCACCCAAAGCCTTGGACGCTTGAAGCCAAGCCTTGGAAATGGGCTGGTAGCTGAAGGAAATGGTACAGCCGGTGACATTTTTCAAGTCCACCATCGCCTGGTCGAACACCGTGTGATTAGCAATGCTGATCGCACGGGGATCAGGTCGGAAGCTGACAGCCCAGAAGAGTTGTCTAAAATTGTTTCTCAGCATTTGTGCACGGCTTGCAAAACGTAATGGCAAGACTTTAAAGAAGTTGTCAAGGAAACCTACCTGTGATCTTTGGCTGCGTAGGCGGGGGTATCCAGAGCTGTGGCGAGGAACATCCAGGATCCAACATTAGTCTCGTGGAGCCGCGTTGGGCCCTCAATTGCAGTAAAATTCTCAAACGCCTTGGGAGATGCAACTGGCTCGGAGTAAAATTCTAGACTGATCACCTCATAGGTGCCGTCCTCCGGGGTGAGCGCGACAATGGGCATAATGGCAGCGTTGACGTCTTCCACGCCACCTCCTGGCGCCATATACGCGTTCAGAGCCTCAAACCACTGCGTAGTAGAAGCCGACGTCCAGATAATGCCACTGGCAAAGGCATCCCCCACCTCCATCGTGACCATGTCGTAGCGAGTCACGATGCCGAAATTGTTCGATCCGCCCTTGAGGGCCCAGAAGAGGTCCGGATGCGAGGTGCGGTCGACAAGAACAATTGACCCATTCGCCAGCACAACCTCATACTGCACGACCGAGTCGGCACCCCACCCCATTTTGCTGCTGAAGTACCCAATTCCGCCCCCGAGGAGCAGACCACCCACGCCCACTTGCCCGTATCGGCCGCCGTTCACAGCCCGACCAGACTGCGCGAGCCACTGGTAGACTTGTAGCCACTTGTTGCCAGGCCCAATTTGAGCAATAGTCTTATTTGATCCTTTGGCGTACTCCAGTTGTGACAATTGATTTAAGGAAATCAGAACACCCTCCGAGGTGGATGCCCCCGGAACAGGCATGTGGCCCACGCTGATCACTGCAAATGGGGATCGTGCTCTCTTAATAAGAGGCAACGCACCTGCAACGTCGGCAGCCTTATGAGGGAGGAAGACGCAACTTGGTGAGAGAAGGCATGTCTCGGACCACGGCAAGGCGCTCTGATTGGCATAGGTGGACGTATTGGAGCCGAAGACCAAAGAGGGAAACTTGGCGGCCAATTCGTGGCAGGCTACGACGCCTTGGCTATGGTCATGGGTAGGTTGACCAGGAGTTGCCTGGGCTAGAGAGGTTGTCACCAACGGGCTAGCTGCCAGCCACGTTAGCAATAACCGGGATGCAAGCTCCACAAACATTGCGACGGATGAGTTGTTGATTGAATAATTGGTTACTAGATACAATGGACTTTGAAGCTGCAGGACGCATCAAATGCGCTTTGTAGTCATGTATCCCCATCCGAAAAGGGCATGATTGCCATACCACGTGGTTTGTTCCCTCTATGCAGGTACAGAGACATGACGGACATCCTAAGGGTATCATCTCCGAGAGAAACCCGGAGAACAACTTATTACGGAAGGGATCCGAGTGATCTCAGAACGCAGTAAGACGGTAAGTTATCGCTTCTGGACAGTTACTTTGGGCTCTAGAGCGGGAGGCAGTTCGTGAGTTCAGCAGTCAGCACTAGTACTTCTACACTCGAAAACCGGCGCTAAAAGCGCCATAACTTTTCGAGTAGCTCCTGGCTCCTGAGACTCTTGGCAAGTTCCAAGGTTGGTATTCTATACCTTTAGCACCGGGACTACTTGAAATTATACCAACTTTATGTATTTTACACTTTCCTTCCACTTCATAAAACCTACACTACCTAGTCTTTGATAAGGCTTGTGGAACTATACTATACTATAATACCTATACACACCGTATAATACTAGGTAACCACGCGTGAACTTAATTAATTATGTATCGTCCTAGGTGGAAGCCTAATAAACAACGGGGTTCAAGCTAAAACTGGGATAATGTAATCTAGGCTCTTAAGTACCTGTGGACGGAGTAGTCTTGAACTACATTCCCACACGGCAGCCAGCTCACATGTATGTCTAAGGAAGAGGCGGAAATGGAAAAAAAAGTGACCAATGCTAATTTTCACTAATACTAAGTACGCTCTCTAAAAACCACATGAATCGGCGCTTTCCACCACATAATGTGACAGTGGGATTCACCCTCCCAATCCAACTCCTTGTTCACCAGCTCCATCTCATATTTGTAGATCACCTTGGCCAATATGGATGACATTTCCGTATAGGCAAAACTATTTGATCAGTAATTGTTTTTGAAATGAAGTTTTAGATTGCCTTACTTGCGACCGATGCACGCTCTAAGTCCAAGCGAAAATGGCTGACTAGCCTCCTTTCGGTCCGTACACATGGGGTCTGTCCAACGCTCTGGCACGAAGGAGTCTGGATTTTGGAAATACTGGGGGTCATGTGTCACTGTCCATGCGCTGGTATAGACTTCGGTCTGGTAAAAGCTTAGTACTTCGTGGATCTAGAGGACGATATCGAGAAGCACTTACTCCCTTGGGGACGTAATATCCGTCAATGTCAATCCCTGGAGACACCCGTGGGAAGCCCTGCGAGCCGGGCGGGTGAATACGAAGTGATTCATTGATGACGGCTTGCAAATATGTTAGCTGGAGAGCTGAAGCAGCATTGATATCCTCGTAGCTTTGATAGCGGCCACGAATCTCCGCTTTGAGCTGTTCGTATGTATGCGGAGTCTTTAGAAGGTAATATGTTGCTGCGGCAAGACAAGTGGCCACCGTCTCTCCTCCGGCGATTCTGGGATTATGTTAATAAAATAGTTATTCAGTCAGGATTAGGTGGTGATATACATTAGAGTTGAAGCGTGTGCCGTCATTTCCTCCTTGTCGATCTCGCCACTTTTCACCTTTCCTGCAATATTTGTGAAGAAGTCCTGTCGAGCGGATGTACGACTCAGACGCCTGGCATCGATACTTAGCATCGTCGTGTTCTTGTTCCAAGGAATGTCAGATAGGACGTCATACTCTTCAACCTTCGCCCGACTGTACCCGGAATGACGATTGCGCACTTGAATGGTCAAACGGGGTAAAAGTAGTTTACCCAATGCCGCCAGAATTCCAAAACGCCGCAGATTGTCAACCACCGTGATCTCGAGAAGGTGGTCGAGGATAAGTTTGATCCAGAAATGATGTTCCTCTGAGGCAAGGCATAGGGTCAGCAGTCATGGTCCAGCCAGCCAATCTTTCTCCCAACTTACCACGTTCAACACAGCCAAAACCCTCTCCAAACGCCATCTCTCCTAGAATGTCAAAGGCAAGCATCTCATACCACTCGACGACGTCTAACCCAGTCGGACCACCGAGAGTGCTGATCTTGTCTACAAAATCATCAATGCATCGCTGAACAATCCCATCCTGGCCTTGTAAGGCTTTTGTGGAAAAGGCCGGGGCGAGGTTCTTCTTCTTTTGGGCATGAATCCTGGGATCCCGTTCACTGCCAATACAGCCGGTCTTGAACCCTGCCCCATAGATATCATAAAACTCGCCTTTGATCAAGTGCGAGCGTTGACCAGCGGGAGCTCCGTATATATATTTCCAGGAGTCGACGGAAGCAAAAGAGAGTTCGTTAGGAGAGACTCGGAAGACGGGGCCTATCTATGTAAGCCTAGGTCTTTTTGAGTCCCCCGAAAGCACACAGGTGGACTCCTTCATACCGTAGTGCTGGTGCATCTCTTGAATCGCACGATGGCTACGACCCCGCATAGTGTGCCAAAACCGCCATACCAACGACGATCTCGCCAGAGCGGGCCCGGGAAACGCGGCGAGCGGATGGAAGTAAAGATTATAAAATGCATACCCCGCGATATAAGAGACCGCCTAGTTGTTGGAGATTGAATAATAAGACGGATTCGAGAAAAGTCGCCCGAAGAGAAACTTACAAGTACTGCGGCTGCTTGCCACCATACCCACAGCTTGATTGCGGCTAGCTGATGAGCTATTCGTTGAAGTGTATCACTGTCCATGATGATGTGATCACTGCGTTGCCAGATTTAACAGAGTAATTTTTGAACCTGGCCTTATGAGACTATATCCCTAATCAACGAATTTGCTCTCAGTCATCTGCAGAACCAAGCGATGCCCAAACAGGATTTTGGCCGAAAATTCGGCAATTTCCCCATTTTGAGGATTCCCACGCTCCCGGTCTAATAGGCATGTATGTTCTGCATTGGCACACCCACTTTCAGAAACATTTCCCAAATATTGAGATTCACAGTTGTCACATTCCACAACTCATGTCGCCCAACATGCTGACGGATCCACAATATATTTATCTGAGTCCTATGGACAATGTCATGCCACGGTTTTATGCTCGACTCATCTTCGCCTTTCGATGCTCGCCAAACCAGGACCATCAAAAAGTCCGAGGTCTGCTAGAACAAGGACTTCGACGCACCAGTGCAGACATTCCGAGTATTGCTGGCAAAGTGTTCACTAGGCCGGCCACTCCAGACCGCGTGGGACATTTGGAAATCCGGGTTCACCCCAGCTATTGCCCCACAGTCTACGTCCGGGATTTCTCTGAACTGGACTATGATGAGCTTCTGGAAGAAGGCCTCCCGCAGGACATGTTGGATCCCAACATTTTGTTTCCTGTGATTGACCCCCCGGATTCAGAGCAGGGGGCCCCGATATTTCTAGCTCAGGCCAACTTCGTGACGGGGGGCTTGTTGCTTGCAGTCGGCATGTATCATTCCGTGATTGATGGCACAAGCGGGGGCTGGTTAGCAAAGAAATGGGCTGAGCATACCCGCCATTTGCAAGGCACCACAGAAGACAGAGCCTCGCTAAATATCATGCCCCGGAGTACGGACCCGGGGGTATTGGAAGACCTTTGGCTCGCTCAGGGATACAGCCCACTTACGGTAGAGGAGCTAAAGACTGGGTCCAAGGATTCCAATGATCCAACGCTCTGGCGACTTCTGGGACTTGATCCGTTGAATACCCCGCCCTCCCCACAACTCATGGCGGAGCCAGAAGGGCGGGAAGACTGGCCTATGCAGTCAACCATCTTCTATCTCTCGCCGCAAGCCTTGGAAGATTTGAAAAAGGCCTCCACAGAGGAGCCATTTGGAAGGGTGAGCACCAATGATGCCCTGATGGCTCTACTGTGGAGGTCCATCACCCGTGCGAGGTTACCAAATGATACGTCATCATCAATGGATACGAATGAGGCTATTCTCGATAGCACCTATGATGGAAGAGCGGGATTTTCTCCAGACCTTCCTTTCACCTACATGGGGAGTCTGATCTTCATCAGTACTGCTCGGATGCAACGATCCCAGCTGGTATCCCCTACAACGTCATTAGCCTCCATAGCGCATGAAATTCGCCAGGCGGCCAAGAGTATCGATTCCTCCCGTATGCATGCAGCGTTTGGCTTGGCAGCATCGATACCTGATTATACCAAGCTGACCTTCCCGTTTGCCACATTCGCCGGGGCTGAAGTCTGCATTACCTCCTGGATTGCCTGGAGCCTGTTTGATCTCGACTTTGGACCTATATTTGCAAATGGGGGGCGGCCAGAGTTTGTGCGCCCACCTAGGCGAGAGTTTGATGCCGTGTGCCGTCGATGCGTTGTTTTGCCATTGCAGAGTCATGGAGGTTGTGAGGTTCTTATCTCCTTGGTTGCAGATGAAATGCAGCGATTGGAGCGAGACCCGGAGCTTGCGCGCTTTGCTTGTGTTGCGTGCCATTAAGTTTATTGGAAATAGATTACCGTAACGCTAATCTAAGTAAGACCGCTCATTGCTATATCTGTTATTAGCTCAAGATGCAGATTCTTTATCCAAAATGGTGGCTTTATGCGGCATCCCAAATAGGAAAGCCCCGGGTCTGTTTCCATTGTGGAAAGATAAATAGCCTCCGATCTTTCTTAGTCTTTGTTTCTCTCGTGCTTGTACTACTACAGGAACAATCAAAGAAAAATGACCATCACAGTTTTAATGCTTATTTCTTCAGCCTTGAATCTATTTGCAGTGAGCCTGGCATATCGAAGCGTGGCCTGGGGCCTAAATATCAGAGCGGCCAAACGAACGGGGCTCCCATATATCCTAACGCCCATACATGAGCTCGAGTTCTGGGCGTATCTGACGAATCCATTATTGCGATCGTGGCTGGGTGGCCACGTCTTGTCGGGACACGGATGGCCCCGATGGGCGCGGTTGATGATCAAGGACTGGACATACGAGGATCGAGGCCGAGCGCATCGAGAGTATGGTCCAGTGTTTCTGGTGGTCAGCCCAGCTGGTTTAATCTGCTATATTGGGGATCCCGATACAGCGATGGCAGTTTGTACTCGCCGGAAAGCATTCATCAAGCCTCCCAACAAAATGAGTACGTAAACGCAAAAAGCCTCCATTTCACAGGTGTCACGATTTCCTCTGCTGATATCTTCAAATAAGAAATGCTCGAACCTTTCGGTCCTAATGTGGTGTCCACCGATGGTGATCTATGGAAATTCCATCTCCGTGTCACTGTGCCCCCACTACAAGGCGATGTTGTGCATCGAACTGTTTGGACGGAGACTTTGCATAGAAGTGAGATCCTGGCCACCCGCTGGATAGGTGCAGCAGCAGGAAAAGCAGCACCTTCCCTCCGGGATGGAGTTTACGATTTGACAGTTAATGTCATGTCCGTTGCGGGTTTTGAAAAACAGTATCACCAGCAACTGGAGACGGGGAAGAAAGAAAAAGAGGACTCGACTTATTTTCCACCCCTGGGCCATCATCGTTTGTCGCTTGTGGAATCACTCTTCCGGGTAGTCACTAATCTGCCCATTTTCGTGCTTTTCCCGGCCTGGTTAGTCCGATTCTGCGCGCACACGGTATATACGGCGTATTCCGAGCTGAACCAGTACATGGACGAGCTCCTGGCTCAAGAAAAAGCCGACATACGGGCACGCCAGGGGACCAACAACACGACCAGGGCCAAAGGAAATCTACTCACTGCCGTCGTCGAGTCCAACAATCAACAACCGGGGCTCAAGACTTCGGGCCCAGTATCAGGTCCTGGAGGACGCACCCAGTTGACGGATGTCGAAGTCAAAGGGAATGTTTTCATGTTCCTATTGGCAGGTATGGAACCACAGCTATCTATCTATATTAAACCTTACACAATATCACTACGACTAAACTCATGCTCATAACAGGATACGACACCACAGCGAATACGATACTCTTTTCGGCCATCATCCTGTCACTGAATCCTCCCATCCAAGATGCTGTCATTTCTGAGATCCAACAGGTGCATCGTGAAGCCGTGGCTGCCGGGCGATCTGATCTCTCTTACGATGAGGACTTGCCCAAATTCCGATATTTATTAGCTTTCATGGTACCTACAAGATCACAATCTCTCACCCCCCCAAGGAAAGACAGAAAGCTAACTCGCCGCGATTTTCCTTTCAACTGCAGTACGAAGTCATGAGGGTATTTCCCATCGTCATTCCCATCACCCGGTTAGCGGTCACAGACCAGGACCTCGTTGTGGATGGGACCAAACATACCCTTCCTGCCCAGACACTCACTATCGTCAACAATACGGCCATCCACCACGATGAGGCCAACTGGCCTCATCCCCACATCATCGAGCCTCGACGCTGGCTGACGACCAACCCAAACACATTTGACCCGACCAATAATACCACGACCACTAATACGACTTCTCCAGATGATCCTCAGCAACCAGCAGAAACAACAATCCATCAACCTACGGTCACCTCCGCACGACCGGGGACAACACATCGTCGCGGAACCTTCATGACATTCAACGAAGGTCCTCGCGCATGTCCTGGGCGACGTTTTGCCCAGGTCGAGTTCGTGGCGTTCTTTTCTCAATTACTTCGAGACCATCGGCTGGGATTGGTGGATGAGTCCACCACGGCTCGGGAAAACTTGGAGCGCCAGGTCCGTCTGCTCGGGGGAGGCTCACCGGTCACATTAGTGCCTCCTGTCGATGTCAAAGTTTGTTTATGGGCAGTTTGAGGATATTGTACGCTATGAAAGAGGAGGAGGAGAGAGAGAGAGAATGTGTGTGTGTGATAGGCAATCTTATAGGCTGTACTACGGAGACTTATCTATGAAACTATATATCCTAACACTTTCTTCATCATTTAATTAATCGACTTTCCCTCACCGTGAAATGATCTCTGAATAGTCTTAGAGAAATTGTTTCTATCTTTATTTCCGTATGATAACATATTCAAATATAAATCCCCACGTATGCCTACAAAACAGAGGGGTTTAAACCCGGGTCTACCAAAGCATTTATCCGCATGCTGATAGAATGAAACGAACAACTATTTCTTAGCGAAATGGATTTCTTTCTTCTATTTCTTTCTTCTTTCTCTAGCTTTGGAATTATTGTTGCATCGCACCTACATTCTGCCTTTTAGTATCTAAGGTTACCCAGACCAGGCTCATGAGTAATTTTTTTCTAAATTTTCTAAACTTTCAGAAATTCCAGCATTTCTCTCTCGCTGAATGTCTTTTACCGAAAATCAGTCGCGGCCTGCTGCAACCTAGTAAGAGCTAGATTCTCCCGGCCAAACCAGAACGGCCGAAGATCCGCGATAGGTTCTTCCAGCTCGCTGTAGCGGTCCCCCAAGGTCAGGATTACGCGGCCATTCCATCGTTCCTCGTTCTCTTGGGGGGTGGTGGTTGGGTAGCGTTGGGCCTCCGTTTCCTTGCCATAAACGTCGACGCGCCGGGGCTGAGTGGCCGTGGCCGAGTATGCGAGAGCCAACCCCACAAAGTGGGCTGAGCTGACCGGTAACCCTTGGGCGAGAATCGGAGCGGCGAGGTGGGCTGGGAGAAGGCTGGTGATGGTAGTCGCCGGGGCGACACCGTTGATGGTGATGCCGTCTTGGATGGTCACGGATCGAAGTGCGCGGATGAGACCGACGAGCTGATTTTTGTGTCAGATTTCCCGAGTATTCAAATTAGGACAAAGGGCAAATATGAAAAAGAAAAGAGAAGAAAAAAGAAAGGCTTACGGCCAATTTCCCCCCCGCATAGACAGGCAGGGACTGTTCCGGTGCATAGGCGGTGGCACTGGTGGTAATGACAATGCTGCCCTTAATTTGGTGCCGCTTCATGGAGCTCCACGTCAGTTTGACTACATTCAAAACCGCCCGGAGGTTGACGTCGAGTACGTCGTATGTCGGCTCCTCCAATAACCCCGTGGTCGCATCCCACGTGTCCGCGAAGTAATTCGTCGACTCGGAGACCCCTGCATTGGCGAAGACGAAATCGACCGGCCCGATCAAGTCGAAGACCCCACGGAGCTCGTCCCATTTGGAGACGTCACATTTGTGCACTATCAAACGCGGGTTTTGGCGATAGGACTCATCATCGTCATCTTTTGGACTGTTGCGATCGAGGATGTGGACGGTGGCTCCTTTGCTAGCGAGGACCTGGGCAGCGGCATAGCCAATTCCGGATGATCCTCCTGCATGTCAAGTCAGGGGTCAATGGATATTCCCCCCTGTCCCCCAAGATTGCCCAATTCGATGCGTACCTGTGATAATGGCGACGGTGCCGTCTAATAAGGGAATAGATTGTTCGGTGATTGTCAAGGAAGACATGCTTCTGGTTGTGAAAATAAAGCACCTTTTCAGGAGAAAGAAAGGGGTCAGACGAGGTTGAGGCTGACGAAGGGATATAGATAGATAGATTGAGATAGACAGATAGAGATATATAAGTACTATAGAGATATCGATGTCAGATGTGGATAGTCTTATGTGAACCTCGAATAGGCAACCCCCCGGCCTGCATCCAGTCCCAACTAGGGTGAGCTCTTTCGGGGAACCGCCCGAACTAGCAAGCGGGGCTTTTGCCACAACGTATGCATGAGTGAGTCTCGGTGCCAGTCTAGTCCCTTATCTAACAATTCGAAATCATACGTGAACAGCAATTTGCACAGGGTCGTACGCAGCTCCATCCATCCTAGACTGTCATCTGTGTCAGATTATGCAAGAAAACAGGTGATAGTATCTAGTTAGGCAATGCGCCGCAAAAATCACTTACTGCCGACCCAGGCAGCCCCTTGGGCCAAGAGAAAATGGCTGACTGGCTTCAAGGATGTCTCGCTCATTTTTACCCAGCCATCGTTTCGGGTTGAAGGTGAAAGGCTGCTCAAAATTGGTGGGATCCAGGCTGGAAGCAATTGGACTTGTAGATACAATCGTCTGCGGCCTAGGGTCAGCGTATGTCCTAGCATGAAACATGGCTGAACAACCAAGGAATAATCTACATACACCTTGAAGTAAAAAATGGCCATCGACGGTGTCGCCGCCCTGAGGAACGATACGGGGAAGTGCCAGGGGAAGTGGAGGGTATATACGTAATCCCTCGAGAATGACTGCATGGAGATATTTCAGCTGGAGGGTGGACGAGGCGGTGATCTCTTCGTAGGAAGCGAACGCCGTCCGGCACTCATCCTGTAGCTGGATGAGCACCGTCCCATTGCGCATCAGGTAATACATAATGCACGACAAGGTTGTCGCTGTGGTTTCACTGCCGGCCAGCACAAAATCCGAAGAATGTGCTGCGAGCTGCAAATCCGAAACCTGGGCCGGATCTCGTTGTTCCAGGATCCTAGTCAAAAAGTCCTTGCGATTGGTTGCTCGTTGGATGCGTCGATGTACGAGGTCGATCGCCATCTGCTCATTCTGTCGGGTCTGCTCGGTAAGTTTCCGGATCTTACCTGGATACAGAAATTTCATCACTGTGGCCGCGGTGGGGAATCTTTTGAATACTTCGACCAAGCTGCCCTGAGTCAGGGCTCCCAGAGTGATGGAAATCCACGGGTGCGGCTCAACTGTGGCTCGAGTCAAATCACATCTGAAGAGGAGATACAGAGTTTTGGTTGGCTTACAAGTTTCCACACCGCGAAAGGTCTCACCAAAGGCCAAATCTCCGATAATGTCAAACGTCATCATCTCAAATCCCTTACCCAGATCAAACCCTTTGGCCCCTTTGACCCCCGTTTGCCGGACAAATTCATCGATAGTCCTGGCGATCAGGGGTTCCTGCTCGGTAAGAGAATGATCGGAAAAGGCATGCGAAAGGTATCGCCGCATTATCCCATGTTCAGTGGGATCCCGCTCGCTGACGATTGAGTGGACTCGATCAGCGAAACTGCCCCCGTCGTAGAAATCACTCTTGAGGAACGCTTGATGACCATGGCGAAATCCATATATGTCCTTCCATGATTGTGCAGTGTTGAAAGAGAGCTCGTTCGGCGCGGTACGCACAACGGGGCCTATCGGGGAAATTGAATGCTCAGGTTAACATGTGCCCTCTTTCTTGTTCCTGGGGGGATGTGGGATTGTTCGCGAGGTACCGTATTTGCGATGTAGATCAAGCAGCGTATATGGCTGACGACCACTTAGGAACCAAAAGCAATAGGGCCCCTGATTTAGCCGTCAGTTGAATGATCTTCATAATGGTGTTCACACATGTTATGGCGGGGATTTGGAGGGAAAAAGCACACATTGCTAACTGCTGCAAGTTTTGGACCCGGAAATCGAGCGAGTGGATGGTAGTAGAGATTGTAGAATACTTTCCACAACCAATGAATGAGGTACTAGAGAATTCAGTCATAGGTTGGTACAGTTCGCATCCAACACTATACGGCAGTTCTGATCACTTACCCCTCCTGCCCAAACGGCGGCAAGGGTATACAGAATACTCAAGACACCCATCGTCCTCAATGAATCTTGACAGGTTGCAAATTTACAGCTATTCCTGAGTTTCTTCGGGCTATGGGACGAGGTAGAAGTCCCCGGCGGAGGCCCAGAATGAAGAGATATGCCATGGCTTGTCCAATTGGTTCGGTCTCGGGAGTTACCCGAAATGGAGAGCCGCCGAAGCGTTCTGGAGCTCCGCCATAAAGGGACTAGTAGCGTAAGTTAGGGCAAGAATTCATCTTTATATCTTTATCCTTAAAAGTTAAGTATGGCTGTGATCAGTTACTTACTTCTTCATTTGCTATCATTCACTTTAGTCATCTCTGTTTATATGCTTGCCCTTTATCTCATCAGACTACACTAATGCATAGTTGTACGCGCCTGATTCAGAATTCCAAGGTGACGCAAAGAACTCTGTCAACTTCCCAAATTCATAGTACTTGAATCACTTCGCCATGGGAGAAGCAGGCACTCCTCTAGATAATGGGGTGGACGACGATGCATTGCCCCAAACCATGCCCATCGCTATCGTGGGAATGGGATGTCGGTTCGGAGGAGGCATCACCAGCCCCGAAGAACTCTGGCAGACGGTAGCAGATGGCAAAAGTGTTTGGTCTCGGATTCCGCAAGATCGGTTCAACAGAGAAGCCTTTTTCCATCCAGATTCTCAAAGGCTAGGAACCGTGAGTGGAAAACCAGAGGGTGAGCGCGGAAGTTCCATCGCTAATTCGCTAATATTTGCAGTCGAATGTGAAAGGTGGCTGCTTTTTGCAGGAGGATGTTGGCTTATTCGACACCTCCTTCTTCGGCCTCACGGCAGAGGTAGCTGCGGTAAGTTGGCTTTACTCTCTCTCTCTCTCTCTCTCTCTCACATCCGTCTATACACTGACGCTATCAATATAGTCAATGGATCCTCAAATCCGTTTGCTGTTGGAAGTCACGTATGAAGCCCTGGAAAGTGGTATGATTTTCGGATCTGCAGTCGTATTGCACAGTCAGGTTCAAATTCACTGATTGACCATATAAGCTGGCTTTTCGCTGGCCCAGATTGCTGGAAGCAACACCTCTGTCTTCACCGGATCCTTCATCCGCGACTATCACGACCTGCTGAGCCGGGATCCCACCGCTTTCCCGCGCTACTTCTCGACTGGCAACTTCATGGCCATGATGGCCAACAGAATATCGCACTACTTCGACCTACGAGGCCCGAGTACACCGGTAGATACGGGCTGTTCGACCTCAATGACAGCGTTGCATCTCGCCTGTCAAACCCTTCGCACAGGGGAGGCAGACGCCGCAATTGTCGGAGGAACATGCATTATGTTGAATCCGGACATGTTTTGTCAGCTGTCAAGTCTCGGGTAGGTCAAATTCCGCGCTTTCTAGTTGCCCAAGAAAAAAAAAGGCTAATACGTGTGCCCTCGCGGTCACATAGCTTCATTGGCCCAGAAGGTAGATGCTTTGCTTTTGATCACCGTGCCCAGGGGTACGGCCGCGGCGAGGGAATTGCAACCTTGGTTCTGAAGCGGCTCGATGAAGCTCTTCGAGACGGCGATCCTATTCGCGCGGTCATTCGAGAAACAGGGATGAACCAGGATGGAAAGACGCCTACGATCACCTCTCCTTCTAGGGACGCTCAGGAGGCCTTGATGAGGGCCTGTTACCAGCGTGCCGGCTTGAATCCCGATGAAACTACTTATGTTGAGGCTCATGGCACGGGCACTGTAGCCGGAGATGTCGTCGAAGTCGCCGCGATCAGGTCTGTATTTGGGACCGGAAGAGCGTCCAAGAGGCCAATTGTGTTGGGGTCGGTCAAGTCAAACCTAGGGCATACTGAAGCAGCGAGCGGTTTGGCCGCGATCATCAAGGTTGTCAAAGCATTGGAAAACCGCCAGATACCCCCTACCATAAACATCCAGCAGTTCAACGGGTATCTTGGCCTCCAGGATGGGGTTCTACATGTTGCTCAGGATTTGGAAGCTTGGCCCGAAACCGACATTCGGCGAGCCTCGGTCAATAACTTCGGGTACGGTGGATCGAATACGCATGTCATCATGGAGGATGCTGCGAACCATGTGCTGAGACACAGCGGCCAGCGACCCCCTGTATCGCAAGACGCTCATTCCTCTCGGAAGGTCTTTGTCCTAAGTGGTAAAGACGAGGGCCCCACCAAGGGGCTCAAGGATCGCCTCCTAAAACACCTCCAAGGACATGATCTATCGCTCCCGGCGCTTGCATATACTTTGGGCCAGCGCCGCTCTCGGTTTCCTTACACCGTTGCCTTTTCTGCCGCCTCAACTGAAGAGCTTTCCATAAATCTGGCTGACCAAACACTTCGCCCGGTTTATGCTGCGGGAACTGCTAAACTAGGTTTCGTTTTCACGGGTCAGGGCGCTCAGTGGCATGCGATGGGTCAAGAACTGACTGAAGAATATCCTGTCTTTCGTCAAGCACTCCACGATGCCGAGAGGATCTTCCAGGAGTTTGGTTCACCGTGGTCGTGCATCGAAGAACTGTCTCGAGATTCATCTACAACACGTGTCAACAAGCCCAGCCTCAGTTTCCCTCTTTCATGTCTGATTCAATTAGCACTTGTTCGTCTCTTAGCCTCGTGGGGCATTTTCCCGGCCGCCGTAACGGGCCACTCCAGTGGAGAGGTGGCCGCAGCCTATGCGTCGGGAGCCTTGAGCTTCCGAGAAGCATTAGCGATTGTGTATTTCCGTGGACTATTGACGTCTGAGCATGTTGCGAAAATCACTTCTCCTGGTGGTATGTTGGCTGTTGGGTTGGGCCAGAAAGATGTACAGACGTACCTCGGCCGCTTGACCACAGGCACCATTGTTGTTGCGTGCGTGAATAGTCCCTCCAGTGTCACCCTTTCCGGCGATCTCGCCGGTATCGAAGAAGTTCAACAGTACCTCGAAGATAATGGGGTCTTTGCTCGTCGCCTTCGGGTCGAGTCTGCGTACCACTCCCATCACATGCTTCCACTACAGCAGCAGTACCGTGAACTTCTTGACAAGCATCTTGGTCCGACTCGTCAATTCAACCCGGATGTTGTCTTCTCTTCCCCTGTCTCCGGTGGGGTGGTGCATGACGCGCACACACTGGGACCGGAACACTGGGTTCAAAACATGCTACAGCCGGTATTGTTTGATCAATCCCTTGGAAATATGTGCTTTGAGAAAGGATCATCCGACACGACAGTCTCCAGGGTGGACATCATTATTGAAATAGGTCCCCATGGCGCCCTCGCAGGGCCTATTCGCCAGTGCCTGGCGGGGGCATCGCCCATCACGTACACCTCCTGTCTGACCAGGAACCAAGATGCTGTTCAAACACTTCAATACATGGCTGCGACCCTCGTCTCTCACGGTAATCCCGTAGACCTGGCCCAGGTCAACTTCCCCAACGGCGAAGACAAAGAACTCCGTGCAATCCCCGACCTGCCTTCGTATGCTTGGAACCATTCTCAGCGATATTGGGCCGAGCCTCGTATCAGTCGCGAGCATCGGCTGAGAGAGCATCCCCCCCATGAGCTGTTGGGGAACAGGATGCCTGGTTTATCGTCCAACGTTGCCCTGTTCCGGTTGATACTGCGGCCGGGTGATATGCCATGGGTTCGCGATCATCTCGTTCAGGAGGAGATGGTCTACCCGGGCGCTGGATGCCTCGCTATGGCGATTGAGGGCATGCGACAGGTCTCAGTCTCCGAGTCATCGCCGCTTCCTCAAATTCAAGGATACCGTCTTCGCCACGTCGAGATCACCCGTGCCCTCATCATCCCTGACACCGCGGACGGTGTCGAAGTGCAACTTCTTCTCCAGCCGCCGACCAGTAGACTAGGCCTGAATTGGCGCGAATTCCACATTTCGTCCGCCACTACCGATGGAGATTGGGTAGAGCACTGCCATGGGCTTGTTGGGGTGGATACCGAGGAACCACCAAGTGACCAGGACCCGACGAACCATCTTCCCTCCACGGCACGCATCCAGCTGAACAGCACGGATGCGGCATACTTCCGTTCTATCGAGCCAGCAGAGATGTTCCGGACTCTGCGTAAGGCAGGCGTTCATCATGGTCCCTTGTTCCAGAACCTGTCCTCCGTGCGGGCCGGATCCAACAAGGCTGTGGCTTCCTTTTTGTCGGTGGACTCCACCGTGATACAGTCAACATCCTCTGATCATGTTCTCCATCCGATCACATTAGATTCCGTTTTTCAGGTGGCGTATGCGACGTTGTCTAAAGACACGCAACGTGAAATGGGAGCCGCGATTCCGACATCGATCAAAGAGATGTACGTTTCCAATTCCATAAGCCGCGAGCCTAGCCGCGCCTTTGAAGCCTTTGTCAACCTTGACCAAAAGAGTGCAAGAGGCTTCAACGTCTCCATCGCATTAGCCGATCAGGGCCAGCAGCACGGTTGCCCGCCAGCACCGGTTCTTGAAATTGACGGTATGCATTTCCAACGCGTGGGTGGTGCTTCCGATGGAGCCGTTCCTTCGGATCATCCCCGTGGTGAACCATTGTGCTCAACGATGGATTGGAGGGAATCCATTGCCTTAAATGACCCTACTCTTGTGCGTCGGCGTCTTGCCAGAGAGGCAGATGCAGGTTCAAAGGCCATGGAGTCTGACCTCACTCGCGCGACGTATCATATTGTGCGCCAGGTCCTGACGAAGTTGACCGACGCGGATGTTGCTACTTTCGAGTCACGATATCCCGAGCTCCTCCAATGGATGAAGGAGCTGATAGACCGCGCAGACGACAACCAACTGGCCCCACGCAGCGCTCGATGGGCGACCGCCAGTGATGGCGTGAGACAAATGCTCCTCGATCGAGTAGCCATCGAGAGTGTGAACGGGCAGCTCTTGACTGCTCTCGGTCCAAATTTGCTGGCGATACTCCGGGGTCAGATGGATCCATTGCAGGCTGCCGGAGAGACCAGCTCGGTTCTCGAGACCTTCCTGGAAAAAATGCTGCATAAACCGGCCGCAGTCAAGCAACTCGCCCAGATCATAGATCTTTACGCCCATGAGAATCCCCGAGCCAAGATTCTGGAGGTTGGAACCCGGAGCCCTGGGGAATGCGTGGAGACAATCATGCAATATCTCACGGGAGACAGTGCGGATTTGTTATTTGCTCGGGTAGGGGAATATACCGTGACAGGGCCCGTGACCTCCGATGGCGCAACCAGTGACAAGTTTTCTGCATGGGCGCCCCTGGTTAGGTATCAGCCCTTGGACCTTGCAGAAGATCTGAGCGCCCAAGGGTTTGAGAGCGGATCTTACGACCTTGTCATCACGTCGTTGCTCTCCCACGAGACTACAGATCTTCGCGCAGCCGTGGGCAATGCCCGTCAGTTGTTGAAGGAGGGTGGAAAATTGATTGTGATCGAAAGGGTGCGCGAGACAGTCGATACAAGACTTCTTTTCGGTCTTTTGTCACAGCATTGGAATCCACCTCGATCGATGGCTGAATGGGAGCGAACTCTCTGCGAGACAGGCTTTTCTGGTATCGATTTGGAGGTTCCTGATTGCAATAACGAAGAAGAGCGCTGCTTTAGTGTGATTGTTTCCACTGCTGCTGCTGCTGCTGCTGCTGCTGCTGCTGCTGCCGTCGACGAACCCGAAACACTTGGCTCCAAGGGCAACAGCATCTCGGTGGTGTACACTGATAGCCTGCCCCCAGAGGAGTGGACGGACGGCCTCATTACTGCGCTTTCTAGTCTCACAGATAGCACCGTAATTGTTGAACCGCTCCATGGCCTAGACCCCCGTGAAAAGATGATTGTGTTTGTCGCTGAAATTGCCGCTCCATTCCTTTGTCAAATGGACGAACAGGATTTCAATGCCCTGAAGGCCATTCTTACGCAGTCCAAACACGTGGCATGGCTATCGCGGGGATCAGCTATCAGCAGTGATATCCCGGACCAAGCCCTGCATACTGGAATGCTTCGGACCTGTCGCGTAGAGAATAGGAGCAAACGATACATCTCCCTAGATCTGGACCCTGGCGAAGAGCCTTGGGCCATGTCGAGTATTAGCGCCATTGGCCATGTGATCCGGGCGATATTCACGCTCTCTCTGCCTGATTCCGAATTTGCGGTACGAGATGGGGTGCTCCTCGTTCCCCGAGTGCGGTTTAACTCGGAGGCGAGTAAGGCAGTGGCATCATCTACCGGAGCCGAGCTGCAGCCATTCTATCAACCAGGTCGAGACTTCCGGCTGTTCATCGAGACCCCAGGTTTGCTCGACAGCCTGGTGTTTAAGGATGACCCTGAAGCACAGGACCCATTGCCCGAGGACTATGTGGAGATTGAACCCCGTGCTTTCGGTCTCAACTTCCGTGATGTCATGGTGGCCATGGGGCAGATGGAGGAGCCTCAGATGGGCTTCGAGTGTGCTGGTATCGTCAAGCGCGCACAGGGCACCGCCGCCAGCCACTTCAAGGCTGGCGATCGGGTTTGTGCCATTACCGCCCATGGCCACTGGGCCAATCTCACGCGTGTCCCCTGGACATCTGCAGCTCGTATCCCGGATGAGATGGACTTCGAGATGGCAGCATCCATCCCCATGACGTTTGTCACCGCGTATTACTCTTTATTCGAGATCGCGCGTTTAGAGGCAGGAGAGACAGTACTAATCCATGCCGCCTCTGGGGGTGTCGGCCAGGCGGCCATCATCCTGGCGCAATGGAAGCAGGCCAAGATCTTCGCCACGGTAGGGACCCCGGAAAAGAGGCAGTTCCTGATGGATACGTACCAGATCCCCGCCAGCCAGATATTTTCCAGCCGCGATCCTTCTTTCGCTCGGGGCGTTAAGGCAGCCACCGGGGGCAAAGGAGTAGACATCGTGCTGAACTCCTTGTCTGGCGGATTGCTTGACGAGACCTGGCATTGTTTAGCCCCGTACGGGCGGTTCGTAGAGATCGGAAAGAAGGACATTCAGTCCAACAAGCAGCTCGAGATGCGGCCCTTCCAAGACGCGGTGACCTTCGCTTCCTTTGATCTCGTCCAGTTGAGCGACCACCGAGGTCCAGCTCTCTTCCGTGTATTAGGTGACGTGGTGAGCCTTTTCGAGCAGAAGGCCGTGCGTGCGCTCACTCCCATCACCACCTACCCCATCTCCGACCTCGGGCGAGCATTCCGACAGATGCAAGCGGGCCGGCATATTGGAAAGATTGTCGTGGTGCCTCGACCAGCTGACAAAGTCAAAGTTTGCGCCAGTCCTAGCCCTGTTCGACTCTCCCCCGATGTCACTTACTTGATTACCGGAGGTCTGGGAGGCATCGGGGGGTCAATTTCCCGCTGGATGGTCGAACGTGGGGCTAAGCATATGATCCTGGTCTCGCGCAACTCCGCCTCCCGGCCGGAGTCACAGAAATTAATCAAGGAGCTGGGACATATGGGATGCGAAGCGGTGGCTGTCAACTGCGATGTCTCGCGGTCCGTGAACCTGGGGCAAGTCTTGTTCGAATGCCAGGAGACGATGCCGCCCATCCGCGGCGTGATCCAAGCCGCGATGAACCTCCAGGACTCGATTCTCGAGCAGATGTCCTTCACACAATGGTCCAGTAGCATCGCCGCCAAGGTCCAGGCCACGCGAAATGTTCACGAGTTCTTCGGAGACCGCCTGAGCTTCTTCATCATGCTCTCCTCGGTTGTCGGCGTTGTTGGGAATGCCAGTCAAGCCAACTACGGGGCCGGCGGATCGTATCAGGACGCTCTGGCACGCCATCGTGCCGTGCAGGGGCTGCCGGGTGTTTCCCTCGACCTAGGCATGGTCCAGTCAGTGGGATGGCTGGCGGAAAACAAGGCCGTGGGGGATCGGCTGCTCCGCGAGGGGTATCGCCCTCTGAGCGAAGAGGAGGTCCTTCAACTTGTCGAGAGCGCCATCCGGGATCCGGTACGGACCCCCGACACCAGTCAGGTTGTTACTGGCATCGCGGGCTTCGCTCCTGAAGCTCCAGATGCAGCTGCCTCCGGTTGGAGATCCGACCCGCGGTTTACTGGTCTTCAGCTGCGTCCTGGAGCAGCACATGCTCCTGGGCTTGTCACTCCAACGACATCAATTCGTTCCCTCAAGCAAGCACTTGCTGAGGCTATATCAGCAGAGCAGCCTGTTGCTCCGCTGATCACGCACGCCGTGATCGAGAAACTGTCGGAGATGTTCGCCACTCCCGTCTCCGAGATCGACCCATGTATGCCCTTGTCGCGATATGGAGTCGATTCCCTGGTCGCAGTCGAGCTGCGTAACTGGTTGGTAGCTCAGTCAGGCTGTGAAATGTCGATTTTCGATGTTATGGGAAGTGCCTCGCTGTCCGCTTTAGCGGATAAGATTGCCGATCGCCTAAACCACCGGTGATTGAACTCGCTGTAGTGCACTGTGGTTAGTTCAATATCTAGTTAGCGGGATAAGTACAATCCTATGTCTTTATATTTGCAGCCCAGCACTTCCGCAATTGACCGCTCTTTCTATACCGCCTACCTATTCTCACTAGTATAGGGGCACGCGTGCGCCCTACGCGTACAACATAATACATAGTATACTAGGCATTTCAAACCCACTGCCTTATGTAAGCGGGAAATGCCGGCGACCGCGGCGGGTCCAAATTTCCGTAAACCTGCTCCTCAGATATATATTTCTGCATCATATACTTGATTCAATTACTACACCATCAGAAAAGAATGGATCCTCATGGCATATTTACGTCAACCGCATTATGCAGGGGTTATCTCAAGCTGGTGTACATTATATATGGACACCTGTCCTAAATCTGTTTCTTGATTCCGCTGATATTGATTCATACATACAGGTTGACAGTCCCACCTCTCTTTACCCTTTGTGCGTTTGTTTCGATGAAGCTATTTAGAGAGCTTCGTAATAGTAGTCATGTCATCGCCAGAATTTTACTTAGGACTTCCGTTGATCAATTCTTGTTTCTAGACATGTATGGTTCCTACGCGCATCAGGTTATCAAGCCTTTTGTCTTACTAGTATCTTGTTAGCTCCCCTAGAGCTATGATACTCTTCGCCTATTAAAAAGCGCACTGATTTCTTATTGGAAAGCATTGTTCTTTACCCTGATTGCTGAGTATTTTTGCTGGTAGATATCCCCAACAATGGCACCACTCATGGAGCAGGGACAAATCCCGGATAATTTTCTTCGTGCCAATGCACCAAACGATCTGGAACATCCCGATATCGTCGTCTGTTTGGAAGGTGATGGGGTCATCAGGGATCCGATCTACCTGCTCTGAGTCAAATAGGAAGTGACACTAGTATCAAGGGATCTATGCATTCTGTGGAATTCATCAAAAAGATATTTCATTGTGTAGCAGTCCCTAGAGCCGACCTAATCGGTCCCGGTCTCCGAATAAACATGCAAGTCATAGCAAGTTCTAGATCAAGGATTGACAAAAGTTAAGAAGTCCAGAGAAAGATCCTGCAAGAAACTAGCCCCAGCAGCGGCCTCAGGGCGGCCCGCCTCTGTGACGTTACAGTAACTTAAAAAGTCACCCGCCTGGTCAATCTTGTTATCAATTAAGGAAATGTAATCAGATAAGGAGCAACTCCTCCCAGGGCCATTCTGACAACTGGCGATGGGATAAACAGCGTCATTGAACAATATACGAATGTAGGGCCCATTCGTGGCTTTGTTGACACTGCAATCCATGACCTCAAAAGCAACAGTGCCTCGCATGGTGATGAAGTGAGCCACATTATACAAGTGGTGGGCTGGGATGTGATCATCGGGAAGAGGTCCTTCGAAATCGAAAATTCCCATGGCAGCAGTCATCTCGGCAAGTTGGTTGTCATTCGTGAAAGCCATGATAAGGTTCGGAATTTCGAAACTGGTGCCGTTGGCACCAACGCCAACATGCTTAGGGCCGGTCTCTAGAAGAGAAAGCAAACTTTTCAGGAAGGGAAGGAAAAGCACCTTGGATGGACCAATTGAACCGGGGCCGACCCCGTAAAAGTAGCTCAGATCCTGCGAGTATGCGTAGTTACGCAGCTCGTTTTCTGTAAAAACACCACACCAGGGGCTGAGATGGCCTTCAATCTGACTCTCGTATGCACACATGTAAGGAAAGAAGAGTATATCAGATTCGTCAAACGTAAGATTTCCTCTGATTTTGGAATTGATACGATGTACAGCCTTGGGTAGCCATGTGGCATCCCCTGTCAATATGTAAGCAAGTATTCTGAAGCACATAACACCGGAATTAGGGATGAGGAAGGGGCACCTGGATCTCATGCAGAGAGGACAGATTTTGCTTGAGTACACTTACAATTCGTGACGTTATTTCCCCCACTAGAGATAGAACCAAATGCAGGACAGGAATCCGAAGGCCCGAGGGAGTTACCAATGGCAGCAGGAGATCCCGTAGAGTTCACGCTCACGACAGTACCATAGGCATCAGCATACTCATAGAGGTAGCCATTGAGAAATGCCCTGGCGGTTTGAACAACTCGTGATTCATTGATTGGGGATTTGTATTGATTAGCCCACACATAGAACGGCGTGCCGTCCTGATAAAACCCGGGATCTATTGAAACATGAGCCCAAGTGCCTCGGACTTGCAAAAGAAGCAATAACTTACATCTAGATCGCAGTTGGTAACCAAGATCACTTGCCTGGAGTTTGTTAGCGAGTTAATTGTCTTTTTGAATATTTGGCTGCGTACCTCCTTCCACCCTGTCATCGATTCCTGTGCTATTTGCAAGGCGGGATTTGTCAATACCGGCTTCCATTTAGGAATGAAATTGAGCGATCCTCGAGCCTCGAACCCGTCTTGTTGTGCTGCAGTTTGAATCTGTATCAAATAGACAAATAGTAAGAATTTAGCAGAACAAAAACCCGCGGATGTAGGCAAGAATAACGCACCTTGTGGTAAAGCGCAACCCAGGACTTATATGAGCCAGTATCTGGAAATCTACCAGCTTTGAGGTCAAAATGATTGTGCTTACGGTAGGGATGCTTTGATAGCCTACATACCTACTCCCATGCCTAACAATATAAGCAGCCTGCCGAACGGTGCATTGATCTGGGACCTCGCTATTAATACCATTCACATTTGGACCTAAGTCGTATATCAGTAGACATAGGGAAACGTGATACCGAGACTCCTACCCGCAAAATACGGGGCGTTACCGCCTGCATATTGAAGAGGACTTGCAGAGGTCTTTGATGATGGAAAAACGATGTCATTTTCTGGAGCTAACGGTTGGCAAAGACCTACCACGGCTATACCTGCCAGAGCACATAATACCGAGCTCTTCATCATGCTAATTTTGAATGATAGTCCGACTTCACAATCCAACCAGGGATGATGTGGCGAGTTTTGGTTCTTATAATGATGATAGAAGAGCTTAAGAGTAACTGAAATTAGAATATGAATGGGTCCACCTCTGGTATACAAGATCCTAGCGGTTAGCTTTGACTGTCCCCTGACTAGCCCAATACACGGACGCCTACAGCTGGCCCACGTGGCAATATTTCGAACTCTATACGGAGTAGTATATTGGCTAATCCTAATATATATTGACGGGTTCCTCTAGGGCTTGGGTGCGCTATTCCGAATCTACTCCGTATGTAGGTTATAGCTAGTAATTTGTGTGCCAGCCGAAGGAGAGACGTGATCCTCACTTTTGTACGCATTCGAAGATTGACCAATCATGAAATTTGCCGAAAGCACAATGCCCGATAAAATGATTTCATTGATTGGATGGTGAGACAATAATTGCGCCAGTGGAAATTGCAATAGTACTGCCAAGGTGCTTTCCTCCTCGTTGTTGAGCGGTCGGTTTTAAAACAGTGGAGCGGAGAAATGCATGGATCATGTCACGTGCGAGGGCCCCGGGTGTAGAGGATGACCCGTTCCGGCGGGGATTCCCGGCAGAATTGGGAGTGTGACTTGGCAGATAGGAATTTAACCTTCCATTATTTTCCACCCGTGTGCATCAAGTTTGGGTTTAGTTTGGGTAACTTAGGCTCGACCTGGTGTGGTTCGGCTACTCGAGCTCGACTTGGTGTAGTCAATTGTCTTTGCCTCAATCAATAGATATATCCATGCATGGCCCTACTGGACCCATTTTGTTTGTTCTATTTGTTCTATTTGTTCTATTTGTTCTATTTGTTCTATTTGTTCTGTTTATTCCGTTTGTGCCTTGGTTGGAGAGTGGGAATGTTTGCACTGTTTGCCTTGTTTTACACAACATGTGTAGGCACCCTCGCGTACACCCGTGGACCGTGGACACCCTTGCGATTTATCCGTCTATCCATAAATAGATCCCTTCCAAGACTTCCAAGAAGCTCACCACACACTTACTGTTAATTTGGTAGGATGGAATACTACAAAGGCCCTGGGACAAGTTCCTCCGCAACCGAGATACCCACGCACAGCAACATGCCTAGCGAGTCTCACCCAGAATCAACTGCCGTGACGACTTCGATAGGGACTACAACATAGCAATGGGATCTCAAACGCACCATGGCACACTTAGGCGTTTTTGCACACTACTATTTTATCAACCCTCACTTATCCGGGGAGCGGATACTAAGAAAGTCTTGAAGAAGCGATTTATCACGATATTAACAGGATGGATAACAACGCGGATAACTCAGCACCTTCTAGCCGAAGCTATTGCTGTTTGCGGTCAAGATGAGTTGAGTAATAATATCTCACCAATACGAAAATGGACATACCTACAACAGACCGTTACAGTGATCGGTCTACCGAGGCTACAAGTGAACACAATGTTCTTTCCCATGTCTACGAACAAACTATGTGCTCCTGAAGGGCACCTCGAGGCGACAATTGTTGTATTCCCAACCGTACATCATTTGTTTGAAAAATGAAATTAAAAGAACAAAAAAGAAAACAAGACAAAAAAGCAAGCTGATGTAGTTTGCATTGCTCCTGATCTAATATAAAACACGGAGTCCTCACTGTATATGGTTTATGTAAAAGTAAAGTGTTGCCCACCAATTATGGTATCATCTGTACATGAGTGGTCGTATAGAGCCAATCAATGACTTGTCCACTGTATTAGAGCCTTGGCGTTAACACCTTTTCTTTTTCTCACGCGCATCCAACTTCAAAGGCCGTTTGGCTCCTACATACACAAAAAATCACCAATCGGAGCAGTCAAAGTCGCAATTATGGCCTGTCAAAGGCAGAGACCGGAGGTCGGATTGCGTATTGATATCATACATCAACCCGAGGATATCATTCAGGCTTTCGGATGCGTGTGCGAGGCATTTGGTCGTCAGGTGCAAGATGGGATCTGGATAGCCATGAACCCAGGATGGGACACGCCTCAGGGGAGGGCATTTGGAGCCGAGAGAATGGTCGCCCGCTGGCGCCACAAAAAAAATGACAAAAACGGTCTCCCGAACACCATATTTCTCAAGGCTACGCTGCCATGTCCGCAGGTCGAAGAGAGGCGTATCATCGTGGGCTTTTGTATTTGGGTGCAAGCTTCCAGTGTAGAGGGCCACGGTGATCCTCCCGTGGGAGATATAGCGCATTCGATGGGCCTCAATGCTCTGTACCCCGACAGTGAGCCTGAACAACGCTACCTCTGCCAAACAATTTCCTCTCTGCATAGAAGACGCAACGAGGTAATCAAACAGAAAGCCATTGCAGCGCCGCCAGCAGTCATGATCCTAGACATGTGCGCTGTTGATCCGGCGCATCAACGCAAGGGCATCGCACGAGGGCTTGTACAGTGGGGAATCGATGAAGCACAACGACGTGGAGGCCTGGAAGCCATAACTGAAGCGTCCAGTATGGGTCGACATGTGTATGGACAGATGGGGTTCCAAGCAGACGGGCCTGAGATCGAATATGTTGTGGACGATGAATTCGCCTCTCGCAGGAACCCGCCTAACCTATTTATGCGCACCCACGGTGCCTTGGTTTGATGTGATATCAATACAAGAGTTGTATCTTAGTATATAGCTCTTTGCTAGTACTACTCAACCTCGAGTCACCTTATAGAACCCAGTGCCAACAAGCAGAGAACCGAGCACTAAACTCTCTGTTTCGTAAATTTTCAGTACTTCGCCAAACACCGACGTTGTAAGCTTGTCAGACTCGCACATTATGGTTGTAATCAAGTTTAGAGTATACATAAAATACAAATGGTAAAATAAGGCCTTAAGTCATATAGCGGGGTATAATATGCCGTGCGAGAGTTTTAATCATGAAAATGGCTAGTGAAACCCTGCTCCCTCACTCGGGCTAAACGTACATATTAGTTAGATGGTATGACATGGCGGGGTGAAATACGAGGTTGGCAATCAGCTCCACGTAATTGAATTATCAGATGTATAACCTAGAACTGCGCCTCTTCGTATTTGTCAATACGAGATACCTCATCACGCCTAGGGGAATTTGATAATACATGTCTTTGATTTCTGGGTTCTCTATGGCTAGCTTGAAAGGTGAGACGTAGGCCCCATGGCTAGCATGTTGTTATATATGATCGAGAGTTCTTGCAGTATTTTTTTCCCTATTAAATAAGGTGTTTTAATTTCGAATTTGATTAAACTGTCAGTGGAATGAGTCTAGAAAAGCAAATAAAACAACTTCACTATTCATGAAGGCAGTCAAGCTTACCTACAACTTTGAACTGCACTGAATTTTAGTCGCTGAATAACGCAGTGTCTTACATGTTGATTCATAAAGGACAAAACAAACATTAAGTGTGTCATAGATATACATTCAGGCCCCATCCATGCCGAGGGGCGAGAAACACGAGGTAAGCCTTAAGCCACACAGTATTCTTTAGTATGGTATATTTGAGCAGAAGCTATGGATTGCCTAAAGTCTCAAAGGCTACATCCAGTTGTTGGGCACCTTTCTGCCGGAAAATCATGTTCGTTGCGCCATGAGTTGTGCGCGCGAATACCATCTCTATATATAATTACATTTTCACTATTCACCATGAGACTTGTAGATTCTCCCTTTTGCTTAAATTTGTTAAATGCGATGTTATTTGCAGTCACACATCATCTGAGATAGATACCAAGAACTTCTTAATTTAGCTATAAAGGCTATTCCTCTCATGTAGGTAGATATGGAATGAGAATGGGTGGCCTTGATCTGAAAGCTCACCTGATTAGTATACGAAGGGCTGTGCAGATCAGCTACTGTGTTCTCAAGCAAACCCAGATCGGCTGCGGCAGGTCATATCACCAGCTAGATGTCTACTAATCAAATGTCTCAGAATAGCATGGATGGTAATGTTATGGACACTTCAGCTGCAGGTCGGAGCTCAGAATTCTAGTGAGAAAGTTATAAAATCCACCTTCTTCCTACAAAATGTGATTCCTTTCACTCCGAGCAACATCAGACCCCAGCCGTGTTTTCAAAGCCTCCAACCAATCTTCGCTGCAGATAACATCATTGCATTCTACAAAGCTCCCCCCACAGATTTCAAAATGAGGTTCGCCATTGCTACTACCGTCTCTCTTATGGTAGTCACTATCTCTGCCACGCCTGTCGAGGTCCGCCAATCCAACCAAGTTACCTTGGCTCTGTCCAATGATCAATCTGGAGCCTATGCTGGCGTGACATTCCAAGCCGATGACACTGATAAGAGCATCTTCTCCCTCTTCAGTGGTACCTCTGTTGGGGCAGGTGGTAATATCAAGGCAACCGCCGCCCAGCTCACCAACTTTGCACAGTCTATCAATTGTGTCATCACAAACAACGACGCTATCATTGGTACCTTGACTGCTCAGCACACCTATTTGGACCTTGATGGAAGTTCCCACGCTGCCATTCCAATCAATCTGAACAACGCTAAAGTTCACTGCCGTGTTTGAATACCTGGCTCCTCACACACATCACAACTCTTGGAATTCTTTGAGTGATAGGATGTACTGAGGCTGAACTGGCATCAATTGCGAGACCGTGTTTCATCTTTTCGTGTTCTTTTCTTTGGCAAATTTCTGGTTTTGGTCATTATATGTTGATAAATACCTTGGTATCCCATTTGTTGGACATGAGGATTTTGGTTTATCTTGCTTGACACACGTGGGAGCCTCGGCAATACGAGCCACCTTCTATCAACTGGAGTGGCTAGTCTCCATTAAATCCACTGTATTCTTTTTTCTCTCTAAATGCTACTAGCTTTGGACTTGTTCATGTTCTAGTCATTTTCCGAATAGCATTCATTATCTTATCATCCCCAAGGTTGTCACCTCCTAAAATGTCTCACAAGGTCCCCCGAAGGTGAAAAAGCGACTTTCTAATTTTTGGGCATTTCCTTTCGTACCGTAGAATAATCATATGGAGGGGTCCTTGAATGGTAATATGTATAAATCTGAAAGGTACGGGTTTCATTGCCATCCTATGTACAACACCGGTGGTGCAGAGAATGGGTATTCCGCCCACAATCGGAGAATGTATGATCATCCCCCTCTTGAACCTGCTCACCAAAAGAGCCCAGCGGATGATTTAGTTGACAAGGAAAAAGCGCGGACTTTCGAGTGTTACCCTTCCTGGTAGTTGGGTTCGCTAGCTATCAGCTTGACAGAACCAACATTGCCAGTGCACTCACAGGGAACTTTGCATCCATCATATCCGTCGACCAAAACATTATCAATCTAGGAAATCAACTGATGTTCCTGGGTGTTATTGTACTTGAGATACCATCGAATATTATTTTACACAAGGTATGCCGTATCCCTAGCCAAATGATAGCCGAGTCACTAAACCGGATTAGATTGGTCCTCGCCAATGGATCAGTGCACAAGTCTGCGTATTCGGGATAGTAGCCTGCTTACAAGTACTTGTGCGCAACAAGTTAGGTTTCTTACTCACAAGAACATTTTTGGGTCTTGCTGAAGCTGGGTACATTCCTGGTGCCATGTACACACTTTCTACTTGGTATACGAAACAAGAGTTGACAAAACGAATCGCCATATTCTTCTTTGGCATGTTTGGCGGAACAGCAGTTTCTCCGCTTCTTGGAGCTGCCCTCTTGAAATTGGACGGGAAAATGGGTCTCTTTGGCTGGCAATGGATCTTCCTCGGTACGATTGGGGCTGATCCCTCAAACACCAAATGATACTAACAAATCTGTAGTCGAGGGTCTATTCTCCATCGTGGTGTCTATTATTCTCTTTTTCTTCCTTCCAGAACACAAGGAAGTTTCTGTGTTGCCCAATCAAGTACACCTTTCGCAGCCTGGAGGGCTTGGCCCAATGCACAAACCATTGCCTCACCCTGGCAAAACGCATATATCATTCAATTTGGTTTGGAAGACGTTGACAAACGTACGCAAATGGCCGCACTTTATTGCCACAGGCTGCGTCTTCGCTACATGGAGCCCTCTCACGACATATACTCCTAGCATTTTTGTGGAACTGGGCTTTTCCCGAATCAAGGCAAACGCATTGTGTGCAATCGGTAGTTTGCTCACCCTCCCCGTGATTTTGTTTTTTGCGTGGATCAGCGACAAATCAAACAAAAGGGGCCTTGCTGTTATGGTTGCTATCTTCGTCTACTTGATCGCGCTAGTAATTCTAAGAATTATGGTGCACCGTGTGGATAATTGGGGCAAGTTCGGACTCTGGACAGCAGTCAATGCTTTGGCTGTGGGCTATCATCCAATCCACAATTCTTGGATCCAAATTAACTGCAAGAGCTCTGAAGAGCGGAACATAAGCGTTGCGTGAGTAAAATCTGCCCTACTGGTCGTTTTTTTTAAAATAGATGAGCTAACAAACTTGCTTCAACATGAAGAATGTGTAAGACTATTAGCCCTATCGTGTTCAGTCTATTTCTTGTTCAGTCCATTTCTTTCCAAGATAAACTAACTCAAGCAAGTTGTCATGGCAGCTACGGGGGGTCTTATGGCAGGAACCCAGATATTTCGGGCAGACGAGTCGGCTATATTGTACGTCCTATACTGTCGGATATTACGCACATTACAACACTAATGATCAATCTATTGACGTGACAGTTATCCGCGAGGGGTGTTAATCATGATTGGGCTAGTGATTTTGGGACTGATTTTTGTTTTCTTACAAATCTCCATATTCTGGATCCAAAATAGGCGTATGAAAGCAACATCTGGCAGCGGGATGTTCAACGTTCTATAGTAACCCAAGGGTGGCCTACGCGTTGGGTCACATTTCTCACATTGCTCGTGTGTATAATCTGATCCTCCGTATAGGAAATTTTAGAAAATAGAAAATGCAATGATAGCAACAACCCTGAAAACAAATGAGACATCCACCAAAGCGCCAATCGCGTATATTAAGCCAACGCTAGGGAAAAGCTTTAAAACCCCAGTGTCTCCGTCACTTCCTTGACTATTCTTTTAGCCAACATCTGCTCCGAGGGATCCACGTCATCAAGAAAATTATCACATTTTTCTTTCACCACGCCTCGAGAATGGTCTATGCTTGGTTCGATGTCCGAAATATCTCTCAACAGTTCCTGCATCTTTTCAAAAACCTGCATCGGAGGAAGAAGCCCCATCTTGACCCAATTCAAACCCCTAAGACGGCATTCCGGGGTAATTTGCAGGGTGGCACGGATAATTGCTAGGCTTCGAGTTTGGTTGTTCAAGACTCGGTCCACAGAAATATGACCATGGGCCTTGGTTTGCAGATGACGCGCAATCCTGGTGGCACCAATCTCAGCCAGGGACGAATATACCAGAACCCCCAGGAATGCCAATTGCAGAGCGCCCTTCATGTTTACCATACATGCAACCGAAGATATGCCAGAGAATGTTCCTGACAAGGTCCAAAACCAGTGCAAACAATCCTTTACCCAAGTCCGGTCATATTCCCAAGTGGAACGGGCCCATTCCTCGAGCTCCTTTTGTGGTCCTTTGAATATAACAGTTCCCCCCTCGTCGCGTTCATACACCGCATATCTATCCCGCAAGTCGTTTTTGATATGATCTGGTTTGTGAATCTTGACCATTGAAGTGAAGGAAATGAGCACCGAGGCGAACCAATGACTGCTGTATAGCAAAAACAAGGTGAAGGCCCAAATGTCGGCTGTCAAAATCCCGCATACCATACCGGTCATCAGCATGGCTCCATTGACCAGACAAATCGAGTCCAATGTCCACTTTCCAAGAAGCCATTTTAAGTTTCCTGATTGCTGACGCACATTTTTCTGGCGTTCTTCGGTTGACAGGTACATGGCATCGACACAAACGACAACAAAATCATTTCCTGGCTGCTTGGATGTTTGAAAGGATATTATATCGGTCAGCCATGCATTGCTCAAGTTGAGTGGCAGTTGGCGAAATACATTCCCCGATACGTCCGATCGTACGGGAAGCATAGTTGTATCTTGAGCGCATAATTTGATAGATGGATGGATCCATTTCATCGTGGCATTAAGACGTTCAACGAGCATTTGCATGGGTGGCAGAGTCCCTCCAATCATTGTCAGATGTGGCCATATAAATAAACCTCGATCAAACTGAGTGTAAAGTCTTGCTGCACTTTTGTCGACACGAGGGTTGTAGAGAACGGCCGCGACACCAAGCGGATCAAAGGTAACTCCATCATCGCTCTTCAGTTGAGCGTGCAAGTCTGTTAGTGACTGTGGAAACTTTTCAGCTTGTGCTACCCCAATTATTGATAGGAGGCTTGAAAGATACAACGATGATGATGGCATTTTAATAAAGACGGGCGAATCTCCAGGGTTTACGATCCATGGCTTATTTAAAAAAGGAATTATAAGGCATCCTGGTCTGTAAACACGAGGAAAACCACTCGAAATTGCTCTGGACTTCGCTAATCCTGCTTTATTGGGTTTAGTGCTTACTAGCTGAAGTCACTATGCTATGTCTGTATGTTGTAACCCGACGATCTCCAGTGATCCACTAATGGCCGCCAATAAACACTCAGCAAAACAGCGCCTGACAGGACAACAGTCGAGGGAAGGGAGCTGGAACTCGGAAGTAATTTTTAGTATGCAGAAGCTGTCCTATTATTTATGTCGAAAGCTATGTTACCATACATGACTGGGAAACCGAGTATTCAACACCTCGGAAAATACATGGACCGCTGTGATAGTGGGCCCCATACAAATTGCATATTAAGCTTACTTAGTTATGCCCAAGCAGATTGTCAAATAGTGGGTTTTTGTCATTTTAGTTAGAGTCATACACATCTGTCATTTTGACCATACATTGCTGTACCCGAGATTTCCGTCAATTTACATAGTATCTGTTGTGGTGGCCTTAGGCCGCCATAGATGCCTCAGGCATAAACCCCTCGTTTGTTAGTCTGGAAGCTCGGCTCCTCCTTAGGAATCAACTCTCTCCCTTCTTTGTCCCTCGCCCTACGTTGTAGCCCGAGTATCTCACCTATATAACTATTTGTCCCTCTCATTCGTATCTCATTTTTAATGTATGATTTTCTGGGCAACCAAGGGGGAGGACACGGGAGAGAAGAAAAACCCACTCCTTCTATGTTGCATTTGTGAATAAACGAGATCTGAGTCTATCTCAACTGGAATACGTGGGTGAATCTCGTATACGAAGGGCATAGCGGCCAGTGATAAATAGCCTGTATTTTGTCATTGGTGCCTGATTTTGGACAGGCAGAAAATTAAAATACCTGAATTACTAGTTAAGCGGCGTACAGGATTACACACGTCCAACCACCACCAGAATCCTACCCACAGCATGTATATGGCAGCATCTTCGGTGTGAGGGCTTCACACACCTCTGATGAATTTATGAATGAGCCTACAAATTACGACCCGAAAGGTCTGGCTCAAATATGTGCTTCGTTCGACGAAGGTGGTGGGGTTGCACTAGGAGACGCGTTCGTTATCTACTCTATTGTCGCGTCTTCTCCAGATTGGAGCACCACAGCATTCAAATCCGGGCTTCAGGCAGAACTCATATCAGCAGCTTCTGCCGTTGGAAACGCGATTCCTGTGCTAGTCACTACGGAAAAGGTGTTCACCGTGGACCTCGTTTCGTTGCCATGTTTAGAGCATCCACCTTTCAACTCTGCACGAGAGACATCACCTCGCGACAGTCTTCCTTGGTTCCTTATCAATGCATCGAAATTCCCTAAGCACCAGATTGTCGGCCGCGAAACTCTTGTTGAGTCCTTACTCGTGATTCTCCAACGACCGTGGTGTGTCCTTGAACTATGTTGCTGTAATAGTCCGGCCATATCGGCCATCCACCAGTTCGCTACCATTGCGGCGAAGATCATACCTGAAATCTACAATAATGCCTTGGTATTGTTACATCAAGAGCTGAGAAGAAGAACAGTACCCTCTCTTGGTGATCTAAAACACCTCAAGTTGTCCTTTGCCAAACTTGATACAACATGGTTTACTATCAAGGAAGTGTATACCAACTTGTCTTCTAGTCGGCTTCGCTCGCATAACTCGTTCTGGTTGCGACTGATTTCTACCTGCGCTCTATACCTTGATATAAGCTGTTCAGATTTGGTTCGCATTTTGTCGTACACGACTTCTAGAGGTGTTCATTTCTCGGAGCAAAAGCACGCAGCGCACAAAGAACATTATTCAAGTATTGAACGGATGTCGCTTGGCTCTCACAGTTCAGTAACAATATCGACATTCAAACCGGTGCTCCTGAAAAGGAGTACCTTGAGTCTTAAGGATCAAGAAAAATGTTTGACACTACACGATTTGGAACTTTGGAGCTGCGAGCTGCAATTCCTGCTTCTAACATACCAACAAGTTTTGCATATTATTTCTGAATCTTTGTCTTGATACCGAACGATGGATGGGTGATCGGCGTACGTTTCTTTGCACTTCCTTTGCTTGCCTCGTGACAAAAGACAAAATAGCCGTCGGGCATCACGGCAGACATTCCAACTTACACAAGAACGTGCTCGCAATCCTCCCGTTGCTTCACAATGAAGTTCCTAGCAAAAGCTCTTCCCTCGGGTGTTTACTACTGTATAGTATAATCACACTGAATTCATCTCTATATACACCGAAACATAGAGATATACATGATTCCGTCATTTACAATGCGGTCTATGCTAGAAGCGGTGGTCTAGTATTAGATCCATAAACTATTACTTGTACCACCTCTCTTAATCTGGATCTTGTGTGCCCTCATGGCTTCTACGCGAGACGGAATCTCTTTAATTCCCCTCGATGACCTTTGCAAATCAAGTAACGCGACAATAAGATCAATTTCTGGCGATTTCACAATTACAAACATGCAAAAAAACAATATTTCACTGAGGTCCATAGCTCAAAGCCCGTTCTCCACGATTCCGATACACACAAACCAACCGATCGAGGGCTGTGCGCCTGAGGGAATTTAGTCCGTACGGCACGCTTTCGAGGTGCCTGCAGGAACGCTAGAAGTTGTGGTGGTAGCTCGCACGGATGTAGTGAACGAAGACGTAGAGGCTTTGATGAGCCTTTTCGATCCACCCGAACCAAGACCCGCCACCAACTTATCACCAAGAGACTTGATGCTGTTTTCGAACGCCTTGCTGTTCTTCGCTTTCCAGTCTGCCTTGGATCCTGGAACAGCGCCCTTTCCAGTGAAGCCAATGTACAAAACATCCTTTGCACTATGTCCGTTGTTACCGGTAATTTTGTCGTTGGGATAACAAAGCTTAGCCAGAGAGATGGAAGCTTCTCCGGTGGTAACGCCGCCGTTGGTGTCACCCCAGATACCATAATGCTGTGATCATTTTAGCCGGTGAAACATTAAGGAACAATTGGGGGTGAAGTACCAGTTTACCACCACACACAATCGCCATTACACTGAGAGGCTCCATACCATGCTTATCAGGCATAAACGAAGGCTTTTGCCCCTCATTTCCAAAGACCACATATGGGTGAATGCTTGCATCCAGGTCCTTGATACCAAATTGTTTCACTTCATCCTGGAAAGCCGTGACACCTTGACCACTCCGATCATCGGAGCAGCTTCCCTCGGAGTTATGAGCGCCATCACAATCGACGTCCATGTCAGCGTACGCGCCCCCCTTGGAGGTGCTGTGCAAGAAGATAGCCCCGTCTATGTCGCCGCAATAATCCGTATCGCTGGGAGCGCCCTGTTCAGCTTTGAATCCTTTAGCAAGTAGGTTCTCGCATTTAGCGGCCTATATATATTAGTCCCATTGACTGTAGTTGATGGTCATGCGTGGACTACCTTGTGGGATTTGTAGATTTCTTGCAAATTAGCGGGCACCTCATATGCCAAGGCAAGTCCCGCAGAGCAAAGAATCAAAGTACTGAGAACCTGCATTTTGAGAAGAAAAGACGAACTGGATTGATATGCTGACTTGGAATGGGTCATGAAACAGAGGAAAGTTGTGGGATATATACACCAGCCGTAGCCGCATATATGTCGGATATGCAGGAGCAGACAAGAAAGATGGTCCACTTGGGCAAAATGATGTGTTTGGAGACATCCTAAAATGGATATTGATTATAGGGCAATGTCCAAAACGGGTTATAGCGCAGTCATGCCTATTATTCTCCCACTGAGATCCCGTCAAAGTCCAATGGGAGACCGCGATCGGGTCATGCGTCAATACAACTTAGGAAAGTGGCCTAATATAGGGGAAATGTGTTGAATATTTGAAGTATCATCCTTAGCTAAAAAAGAGGGACACCATACCATGCACGGTGATTGCCGATCTCCATGATGTACCCTTTGGGAAAGGGGCGCCGATCATCTATATTAGATCCTTGATGCAGATTCTGGGGTAGATTACATTCATCTCTCTATCAACATAGCAAGCAACTAGTTAGGAAGTATTGTTCTAATAGGAGCTCACTTATATCTGAATAATACAGAATTCGGACAAGATAGAGATCATCTTCCCATCTTTTTTTTTCTTCGCTTTACATATACCGTACATCACATTTGGCAAGTCGGCGATCAAAGGAAAAAGCAAGAGGAAGAAATATGTATAAAATCGTGCTGATCATTTTGAGAAAAACGTCGATCATGAACCCCTCCACCATACAACATACAAGGCAACGTCGGCTAAAGCATGTGAATCGAGAAGAAAGAGAATCAATTACACAAGACCAATTAACCAATCCGGAAGGTATTAGGAGAAATATATGGCTTACCATTATTCGGCCCCCACTCTACGGAGTACTCCGTGCTCCGTACTATTATGTACCTGCAGGAAATCTATTTCTACAGTCAATATTACTGCTTTTGGTGTGTTATTATTTGTTTCTGGTATGGAGTACCGTACAAGTGAAGTCAATGATTTCATCATTCGGATATCTACAAAGTAACCCTACAACATAGATGTTGATTCATTGGTAAGTTTTCTGATAAATATCATAAGACGATCGTGCCAACAACTTATGCCACAACTCTGAGTATAACAGTTTTCAGACCACAATCACTAGTTTAATGCAATTCCCTTTTTCTGGAAAACCCAAGTGTGGCCCGTAACCTCCAACGACCTGCTGATATAGTTATGCCAAGTCTTCGAAGCCTAAAACCCTACGATCGACATCAACAGGTAGCATCACAAAAAGCAGTGTTAGCGCCCATCGCACTAGTTGTGGGCATGGCTTGAAATTAGGTAGGGTTTCAAGTCTGGCAAGGGCAATATTATCGACTTGGTCAAACAAAATCTGCTGGTCAAGGAATCGGGCTTAGTTGCGAAAGGATTCTCATCTTATCTAATAAATATTGAAGTAGTGGTGTGGGGAGCACCCAATATATGTACAAGTTAAGGCTCAGAGCTTCCGCGTGTGAAATATGTACGGGTCTTATTAGCAGTCAAGTTGGAGACTCGGCATCAAAATTCTTAAGATACATCCCATAGCGATTTGCCTCGAGAGAATGGACCAGAGAGTACTATAGACATATTTCCATAGAGATGATACACGTGCCTGTATCAAAGGCGTTGAAAGAATATAAAAACAGCTGATTTTTTGATGCTATTGCTGTTTCCCATTTGTAAAGAACGCTGAAAACACTCTCGCTTGAGTAATGACCAAAACTCTTTGCAAAACATATTGTTACTCAGGCTAGTCAAAAGAACAAGGAATGTGTCCCAATAATCGAAGGGCTGCTGAACTAGAGGCCATCCAGAATTGTGGGTGCAGACATATTCAAGATGGTATAGAGCTTAATCGTTATCTCTACCAATTATCGATCTGTCATCTTAGGTACATAAATTGCGTCTCTCACTATTTTTGACCGAGTTGAATGGGATGTTCCAGTCCCTGAGCTGACCAAGGCCCCCAAAGTCCAGCACCGATATTCTAGGTGGATTTTCAGATTGTGAAGGTAAATAAGACACATATCTTGTATTCTATAAATGCAATAGGTATATGATCGATCCTATATATACAAAGAAAGTTATTGTGCACAATAATGCCACTCTCCGTACTCCATGCCCAAGATGATATCTTGTCGTGCAAGTTCATGTATCATGACAAATGCGAATCTAAAATGCAACACTAGGAAAAAGAAAACCATTGTATTCACGCGTTCTCCGTGTGAAGGGTTCCCTGTGACTTCCGCCCGTACGGATTCTCATCCGCGATCCAGTCCTGGTGGCGTTCGGGAATCTCGTAGTTGCTGCTCTTCCAGGGGACAACCCTGTTGACATACATCCAGTCAAGCTCCTCGAGCGTGCGACCCTTTCCTTCAATGACGAAGAAGTAGACAACCCCCACAGCCACGAAAAGGCAACCAGCGAAGACGTATCCGTAGGCAAAGTCGATCTCCTTGGTGATAAAAGTGGTGAAGAAGCTGATGAGGAAGTTCCACAACCAGTTGGTTGCGGTAGCTAGGGCCATACCCTTGGCACGGTACTTTGAGGGGAAAAGCTCTGCGACAATAGCCCAGACCATGGGGCCCCAGGTCATAGCATATGCCGCAATAAACAGGCAGGCGACGACAATCATACCTTTCCCGGCATTAGGGGTGTTGGTAGGTGTTTCCACGTCCAGAACGAAATGGCCGAGAGACGAGAAAATCATGAACATGACAAACATCCAAATCGCTCCAAAGATGAGGGACTTGCGACGGCCGAAGTTTTCCACAACATACAAGCCGCCAAATGTAGTGCCAAAATTCACAGCGCCGAGGATACACTGGGTCACAAAGCTGTCCGAGAGACCAGCGCCTTCGAAGATAGTGGTACCCTATCAAAAGAATCAGCGATTTCGCTCAATATAAGATGAAAAGCAATTACTGCAGGAACTTACATAGTAAAAGAAGTAGTTAGCACCGCTGAGCTGCTGCAGTGACTGCAGGACCATTCCGAGAGCAATGCGGTAGAACATGCAGGGAGCGGTGAGGAATTCATGCCACTTCTGGTCATCAGACTCGGCTTCAAACTGCTCACGAATCTCCCTCATTTCTTCCAAGATGCGGACATGGTTCTCTGGGATACCATAGAGCTTGGCCAGGGTGCTTTGAGCACTCTCGGCCTTTCCGTGGCGGAACTCATAGCGTGGGCTTTCCGGGAAGAATACCATACCACCGCCGAGGACCAGAGCAAAGAGGAAGGTGATACCAAGAGTGATGCGCCACTGAGCAGTGCCATCCATGGTGTGAGTACCCAGATTGATGCAGTAGGCCAGGAAAATACCGAGGGTAACGAACAGCTGGTAGCAACTGATCATGGCACCACGGATGTGACGGGGGGCACTCTCACCCTGGTACATGGGCACGAGTAACGAGCAACCACCAACACCGAGACCAGTGACCCAACGGCCAACGACCATCTGGTACCAGTGGCCATCGGGAGACGTAATTTGAACAATCAAACCGACGTTGAGGATCATACACCAGAGGGTAATGGACCACTTCCGGCCCAACATATCAGCGATGGGAGCTCCAACTAGGGCACCAATCATGGTACCGATGGATAGTAAGCCGACAATGAGACCGGAGCGCACAGTGCTGAATTCGTATGAACCATCTGTGTTGAGCTCACCATACCGCTCCAAGTAATTGCCCATTTCTTGGAAGCCGGAAATCTGGCCCGTGTCATATCCGAACAACAGACCACCCATCGAGACAAAGAGGGCCATCACTAAGGATCGCATGGTTATCCGAGGGATTGGGGTATCGATACCCACGGGGTGTATGGGCTTCTCAACAGGGCTATGTTGGAATGACGACTCGATGCGCGGCTCTTGAGCCGGGGTGATGGACTCCCCATGGTGGGAAGACGCTTCGACACCCATGGTGTAGGTTGAGGGAAGAGGAATATGTTTCGGCCTGTCCTAGAGTTTGATATTTCAAGTTGTATTTTAAATGTTATAAAGGGACTAGAGGACCAGCTCAGAAGAAATATAAGATTGAAAGAAGAATAGAGGGAAACAAGCCCATGGAGAACGAGAAATCTCGGGGAACATGGGGGAATAGGGGCCTTTTTGTAATTCAGAAATCAGAGTGAAAAAAAATAATAAAACCCAGAGTCGATGTGGGGAGAGAATTGTGGAGAGGCGAGTCGCGCGAGATGACGATGCTCATGGCCGCGGATACAAACTAGGATGACAACAGTCAACAAGCCGGCGGAAGCCGATGTGCACAGCCGCCTCACCAGGGGAAAAGCCATACAGGGGAGGTTCCAAGTGATTATCGGCTCTGGTTCGCCGTTTTCAAGTGGATAGCCGATTTGTTCGGGGCAAGGGTCGGGAAGTGGCGGATTCAAGCTCATAGGCCAAGGCCGTGCCGAACTGATTCGGGATCAGATATTTTAATCAGGACCGAGAAAGAGGCCGAGGACGAGATATCTTTCAGTTTTGCTTTGACCATATCGATGTACTTTGTATAATGCCAGGTGTAGGATACTAGAATGGAGAAAGCGTAGTGGGCTAAAAAGAGACCCCGGGCATTCCCCAGGCCCGGGTTCTCTCCGGGTTCTCTCCGGATTTGGGAGAAACTCATTTCCTGATCGGTATCCCGGTGAAAACATCCCCGAGAATTATCATCTCCAGACAAGGAAGGAGGGTTTTTGAGGGGAAATGCGGAGTCTGGAGGGCATATGGTCAGGAGTACTAACTCGAGACATTACTACTAATCTACTGGCAGGACATTACTTTTACAAATGACCCTACATCTACTCCGTGTACAGCCTATACAAAGCCCAATTCCAATCCCATTATAAATCTAGCAAAACATCGGCATTACATTTGATACCCCAATGCCGAGTCCCGAGGTCGTCAGTGGCGGGCCTCTGAGGCGCCACACCCGTTGCCCTACGTCATTGAAGAATTTTCGATTTTCTTTTTAAATTTCATAATTTCATGTAATTTATATGTAATTTTTCATACTTACATATTCAAGTTTTCATTTGCAATTTATAATCCCAGGATCGACCTACGTATGTTGTATAGTCCATTTCATATACAACCACCTGGGCACTATAACGAGTTCCTCTATCAATTCATTCATCTATTCATCTATTCATTAAAAAAATACAAAAACTCCCGCTTTAAGCCAGAACATATCCAACATATTTACTTAGAGAACACCCATGGGGTGCGGAGTAGACATCGCTTAATTTGTCATTCTCTCCGTGGTTCCCCGTGGTTTCTCCAATCATAAAGTATTTACCTCGACTCCATTTGCCGGTTGATCCGCCACCCAAAATCCAGCATTGTTGTATTTACTAAGATATTCTCCATGCCAAGTCGGGCAATTTTCAGGCAGGAACGTTTCACGCTTGGTTAGAACCTTGGAAACCCGTTCCGCTGAGTCATTCAGAACAGAGATATCGCAACGGTGAATATGAATACGTATAAAACACTAGGTCGCAAATCTGGATTCAACCTTGAGGGCTGTGAAAATCGAGGCATCCTTCATTCTTTGCAATCACGAACTCAGAAAAGCTTGTGAGAAACGAAGTAGTAATGGTCATATGAGACAGATATATTTTGCGACATTGTAGCACATGTTACAATTGTCGGCCTAGCTAGCCGATCTTCCATTTGTTACGACTGAGTGCCAATGGCTTTTTTTCATCTCCTACGTATAGCGGCTGGAACGCCTTGACAAATGGAGACAAGCGTGTCAATAATTCCTCCGTGTTTCAATTTCTGCAGGGCTTCCCCGCGAAATTCAAGTGATCCATGCACTCCTGAAGTTCTTAGATACCCCGCATACACAAGTGGTCTGGCATATGGATTTCGGTCCTGCAAAGGCCAAATCATTGGTATTTCGCAAGCGGACTACCGCCTTGATTATTCCGCAAACAACACGGGGGGAGGGCTTGCAGCGTAAGCTCGATGGGACCATTCTATGGCCTGATGTATCCTCTAGTCGATGGAATAATTTCAATTTCCTAATTCACGGCGGAAGACGTTCCCCGTCTTTGAGTAGTCCCCCTCTCTTCCCAACCCGGCTCCCAATATATACATATATATATCTACATAAACATGCACGCATCCAAAGCAGAACCAGTGCACTACGAAATCTACGATCATCATGAAAACGCTAGCAATCTTATCCCTGATAGGCCTAGCCTGTGCACAAGCTTCTCCGTATGCTCAATGTGGTGGGAGTGGTTATTCAGGCTCTACAACATGTGTCTCTGGCTGGACTTGCCAATATCAGAATGACTGGTTTAGCCAGTGTCTCGCATGTAAGTGTACTAAGATATATATTTTGCAAAGCTATTCAATTGATTAACACAAAATACTCTAGCTTCTAGTGGTGGTACCACTACTCTATCGACAAAAGTCTCGATCTCTTCGACAACCACAACTAAAATAACCAGTACAACAAAGGCAACCACCACGAGTGCCAGCGGGACAGGCTTCCCCGCTACGAATGGACTGGGCTTTGAAATTGATGGAAAGAAAAGCTACTTTGCCGGTTCCAATTCCTACTGGATTGGCTTCCTCACGAATAATGACGATGTGGATCTTGTGTTCGACCACATGAATGAATCTGGGCTCCGAATCCTCCGAGTTTGGGGATTCAACGATGTCAACACTGTTCCATCTTCCGGGACTGTCTATTACCAACTACTTAAAGATGGAACTGCCACCATCAACACCGGCGCCGATGGCCTCCAGCGCCTGGACTATGTGGTTGCCTCCGCTGAGGCACGGAATGTGAAACTTATTATTAACTTTGTCAACAACTGGTCGGATTATGGGGGTATGGCCGCTTATGTCACTGCTTTTGGTGGCAGCCAGACAAGCTGGTATACAAATACTGCGGCTCAAACAGCCTACCGTGCTTACATCAAAGCTGTTATTTCACGATATATTGACTCGCCTGCTGTCTTTGCATGGGAGTTGGCTAATGAACCCCGCTGCAATGGCTGTGACACTTCGGTTCTTTACAACTGGATCCAGTCCACTAGTGCCTATATCAAATCTCTGGACTCAAAGCATATGGTCGCCATTGGTGATGGTATTTAGGCCCTTGAGCTCTACCACGTGGTCGATTGTCTAACTCATCTTCTAGAGGGCTTCGGACTGAACATTGGGTCTGATGGCAGCTATCCCTACAGCTACGGCGAGGGTTTGAATTTCACGATGAATCTAGGAATTGATACCGTCGATTTTGCTACATTCCATCTCTACCCCTCGAGCTGTATGTGTATTCTTTTTTCATTACCATTAATTCAAACGTCGCTGATGTATTCACACAAGGGGGAACCACCAATGATTGGGGTAACGGATGGGTCAAATCCCACGGAGCTGCCTGTGCAGCAGCTGGCAAGCCCTGTCTCTTTGAAGAGTACGGTGTCACTTCTGATCACTGTGCCATTGAAGCTCCATGGCAGAAGACGGCGCTGGACACCACTGGCATTGCAGCTGATCTCTACTGGCAGTATGGAGACACGCTGAGCTCCGGAAAGTCCGCCGATGATGGGAACACCTTCTACTATGGAACTAGTGAATTTACCTGTCTGGTAACGGATCACGTCGCAGCCATCGACTCCTAGACCCCAGAGCTGGTGGGGTTGCACGGGAGAGAGTGATCTGCAGATTATTAGGATGCAGCTGATATGAGGACCATGGACTGTATGCTTTTTACCATGAGATTTGAATTCTTTTATGATATGGACAAGTCACGCAGAAATGACTATTTTGATTGGGTATTTAGAGACTTATGTACATGCAACTCGGTGCTTTTCTAGGATTAATTAGATTGGGCTAGCCTCAAGAGGGCATGGAGAGTTTGGTGTCGCGATGGATAGAGAGTTTCGTGTTGCGAGGGCAGAAGAGTTTCGTGTTGCGAGGGCAGAAGAGTTTCGTGTTGCGAGGGCAAAAGAATTTCGTGTTGTGAGGGCAAAAGAGTTTCGTGTTGTGAGGGCAAAAGAGTTTCGTGTCGCGATGGCAAGACAAATTCAATGACTGGGTGCCTTCTTGGGGACTTCGCCGTAGGCTGAAGGTTCAGGGGAGGTTTCATCCCGCTCTACAGCGTCGGTTGGCGGTCCACGATAATTGTTGTAGCCCCAGACACCATACCAGACAGCAGCAATAGCAATGAAGCCAGCGAACACCACGGAGGCATAGTTCATGCTCTCCTTGGTGACAGATTTAAGTGTCGGCATGCAGAAAAGGGGAATTGCAAGAAGACTCCAGCCTAGAATTATTAGAACCGTTAGCTTAGGGCTCAGTCAGTGGTTTGGGGAGTTTAGAGGCAACTCACCAAGAGCAATAACGTTGGCAATCAGGCCAAAGACCCCAAAGTTGAAGCTACCGTTCTTGATATCCTCACGACCACGGAATATCAGGGAAACAGCGATCGGGCAGGCATAGCTCATGGTCAAGAAAATGACACCAACACCCGAGAAGGCATTATACGCAGCAGTAGAGCCAAAGTAGATCACCCCGAGAATAATTTCCACAATCATGCCCAATACCAAGGCATTGAATGGAATGTCGAGAGTCTTATTGACGGTGCTCCACCAGCCCGAGCCGGGAATGCCGCCGTCACGGGCAAAGGCCCAAGTACAGCGAGAGGTGGCGGTCACACAACCGACACCGCAAATGACACCTAGCACAAGGAGGGGAATAAGCAGACAGAATGTACCCGCCGAGTTGCCGATGGCAGCCTTGAAGATGGCAGGGGTGGGCTGGCCTGAAGCCAGATTGACCAGGTATGTGAGATCGGGAAGCACGAAACAGACGGGAATCAAGAAGAGAAGACCGGCGATAAAGTTGATAATGATAGTTCCGACCATGGCCTTCGGGACCATGATGGCGGGCTCTTGAACCTCCTCGCAGAGACTAACGAACACCATATGTTAGCATATTTTTCTAGGAACGGTTGACTTGGAATTGATCTAAGGGTTAGACTCACGAGATAATCATGCCGGTCGCTGATGTGGCGTAGGCGGCCTGCAAGAGACCGATGAAGAATGACCACCCCGCGGGCCACCCAGCCTGAGTTTCAAAGTGACCAAAGACCCATGCGGCATCGTGACGACCTTGCTTGGCGATAGCTAACAGGCAGACGACAATGGCGAGTAGACCGGCCATAGTCCAGAAAATGGCAAATGTCTAGAAACGATAATCAGTACTATTACCCCATAGGGCAAAGGGGCACGTGCGACACATACCTCCAACCACGGCAGCCATTTATTGCCAAACGCCGAGATAGAGTGCGTCAAAAAAGTAATGGCTAAGAAGATGAGGAAGGTCTGATAGGCCTGGAAATCATCAGTGATTCCAACACCCGGCGATTTTTCAAAAACATTCAGACAGGCCACAAAGAGCAGGGCAGTTCCAAAGTTGACGGCGAGGGTGATGGTGATGTTCCCTGCAACATAGGACCAGCCACAGATCCATGATGCAACGCGACGACACCACAACGGAGACAAGACGAATGTTTGATAGTAAACACCACCTGCAGTTGGGTAGACCGAAGTGATTTCCGCCAATGAGATAGCCACACATAGAATCAAGAAAGAGATGATCACCCAACCCCAAATAACATTGGCCGGCCCACCTGCGGCGAGTGGGTAGTATAGAGTGGTTGACAAGCCGTAGGGAACTGAAGAGAGAATGAAGCACATAAAAGTGACTTGCCAAATCGATCGATTGCGAGCGAATTCAGGCTTGTATCCCATATCCTCCAGGGTGCGATCCGCATTGGAGGTGCTCACGCCCTGTTCGACCGTCACCGCGGAAGGGCGACGGAATGCATCATCAGCAGCCATAAAGAATGAAGTTATTGAGTAATGTTTCTGATCTGCATATGGTGCATGCAGATTATTATAAGTACTAGGAATAGTAGTAAAGAGAGTGAAAAAGAGATAGAGAAATAAGAAGTACAAAAACAAAAGATAGAGAAAAAAAAAAGAAAAAAGAAAAAAGAAAACGCCACTTAACGGTAACCTTGGAAAAATATGGAAAAATTAACCCAAAAAATATGACCGGCAGATTAAATGCAAGCGAATGAAAGCCACACGAATCCACCTGGATCCACCTGGATCCACCCTTATCCACAGGACACGAGCGCGATTAACTTTAAGCCAGTCAACGCGCATGGAGAGACAGGGAGATTGTTGGCACAACCAATCAAATTACTTCTAAAATCCAAAAAAACCCTACTAGTGTCATCCTTGTTTCGAAGCTTTTGAGAAGATTAGAACATGGGGATTGCGTTGTCACCTACAGTTCTACGGAGTACAAATATCCATGTACAACATACATAGGGCTGGGGTTAACGGTTTATCAAAATATTTCTTACCTACTTGATACCTAAGTACATAGGTACACAACATAGAGTAGGACATATATATGCAGTTTTACTTTTAACCCCATATGTACTCCGTATACAAATACTAATTATGGAACCACCGTTGACATGATGTCGGAGGGGTTGGTCTGCCGGCTCCGAGTCTTGGGAAATGGTCTCCGGGCAAATGAAGACCCGATCATTTTGCATATTATCTCTTTTGCATTTTACAACATAGGTACATTATAGGAAATCGGATACCAACCAGGACTGACGCTCCAAATACGGAGTACCTATGCAGATAAATGTCCCCCTGATTCTACCAGGTTCCGATACCAGCCGTGTTCTGACAGGCCATCCCGCAAGTATAGAGATACGCCTCAATTAAAAGGGGGCACAGGCTTTCGGCGCAAATACTCCATTGGTCACAACTATCTTGGCTGTAACCTTTTAGTCAATTCCCTACGGCGTACTCCGTACTTCAGTCAATTTTTGATTGGCAAAAATCAGATGGTAACTTTGAGCATGCTGAGAAATTATCTTCTGAGTACGCAGTAGGCTAAAATCAAATTACGCACTCCCTAAATTCCTTCCAATGAAAATCATAACATAATATATGGGTCTGAGAAATGCCCAACATCATACTCCGTACTCCGTAACGGATCCATATTCGCGACATGTTGATGCCTGAGGTGTCGAGCTTCCAAGCCTTCCAAGGTTGCCTCTGATATTTCACCCGCCAACATCTTCGGGCGCAAATCCACTTTAGTGCTCTGTACCACGCACGCCAATATTCAAGTTTCAAATTCCCCATCCACCACCTTCCGACATAACGTGAACGTTCAGGACTCAGGAGTTTCATCCACTCCAATGACCGAGTCAAACCCTTGATGCCAATTCCGATCCATGGGTTGCTGCTGAGAGTGTGGATACACGCTGTTGCCAAATGTGTCTCACCTACATCGACTATTGCAATTAAAGCGGGGTTGTATAGTCGCGTCGTGAGCAGAACATGTGCGCTCAGGACACCGCATTCGAGGCCCGTGGGACTCGTATCTAACATAGTGCGCGAATGAATGAAACAGATGAGAGGTGGCAGCGAAGGGCTGGCATCAGGGACACCGAAGTATCCAACTTGCGTGCCGTCAGCACTATTTCCCAAGGTCCACCCACCAGTGGTGTAGTGTGCAGAGGGTCCCCCGCTAGCAGAATTTATCCAGACCGCATAGAGCCATATAAAATTATAAATACGGAGTAGTGGTGGCTAATCTATATGATATGCCAAGGGTTATAGCAAAACTCAGCTCCTCGACTACTCTAAATCCTTCCTATCTCAATACTAGCCCTAGCGCCTAGCTAGGCGGCCCAACTTCAGGGATATGGAACTTGATGCTTCAGACACAAAAATAGAATAGATGGGCGACAGCATCAGGGTACCTACATGGCTGGTCTCAGGCTTTCCAATCTTCCGTGGTCTTGGGTCTTGTGGAGACGGGCGCTTTTATGCGCATGGCCCTGGATGGGCGATCAAGTATAGATAACAAACCTAAATAGAAAATATTGACTGAGTTGTGGATTCCGAATGAGCCATGTACATAGAACAATAGTGAATCCGGACTCTAAATGGGATATCCACGGGATGCCGAAGGTTTCGTGTCGGTCGGCAGTGGGGGATGTGGGGGTCTTCGATAACCTGAGGGGCCTCTCCAGGATTGGAAAATTGTGGGGGAAGTCGGGGACTTGAATGATATATATAGACTCCCTTTGCACGACTTCGAAGCATCCCTTAGTGGGTTGCAAGAACGAGTTGTTATCTTGATCATCTTGATATTAGCAAGACATAGAGCCTCGTCTCATCTCTTAGGGGAAAACACGATGTACCCTCTATAAACTCACTCTTCATATGTATCTTCTATGTCTAAATCTTGATAGTGATAGGCTCACAAAATGTAGGTTAAGTTCGAATTTTATAGCCGCATAGCTATAATGACAAGCATCTATGCTTCCTATATCAAAATGACGTCGGTTACCTGATCGGGCGTGGGCCCTAAAAAGGTCTCGCAAAAGAAAACTTCAGTACCTGTAGTATCCAGCGCCATTGCATTCATCTTCGCTCCAGAGCTGATTGTGATTAGTGGGGGTGAGATGGAGTGCCCTCGTCGCAATATTCCCCGGGCAGCCCGGAGATATATTTACCGATTGGTTTTCTTTTACATCTTCGGGGTGCTAGCTATTGGTGTTATTTGCCCATCAGATGCTATTCGTCTGACCAAGGGCGACGGCATGGTAAGCTCATCTCCATTCGTGATCGGCATCCAGAACGCCGGCATTTCCGTTTTGGACCACATCGTGAACGCTGCCGTCTTGACATCCGCCTGGTCTGCAGGAAATTCCTTTCTGTATATGTCGTCGTGCTCGCTCTATTCCTTGGCTATGTCAGGCAACGCGCCGCATGTGTTCAAAACATGTAACCGATGGGGTGTCCCATACTGGGCTGTTTCGGCTTCAGCATACTTCTCAGCATTGGCATATCTTGCTGTTGGGAACTCTAGTTCGCTTGTGTTCAACTGGTTCGTCAACTTCACAAATACTTCTGGCTTCATCTCATGGACCTGCTGTTCTGTGGTGTTTTTCCGCTTCCGCAAAGCTGTCAAAGCACAGGGCATCGAACAACCGTACAGATCAAAGCTGCAGCCATACGGGGTTTATTTTGGCCTCGCTGGTGCCACTCTCATGGCACTCATCAATGGGTTCACAGTATTCTTCCCATCGGAATGGTCTGTGAGCAACTTTTTCACCGCATACATCGGCATTCCTGCTTTCTTGATTCTCTACTTCGGACACCGGGTAGTATATTGGAATGATCCGTGGGCATGGCGCCCGGAGGAAGTTGATATGCACACTGGGTCGGATGAGATTATTGCTGCTGAGCAACCACCAAGACCACGTGGGCCTTGGTGGAAGTTTTGGTGGTGTACATAACAAGAACAGTCAGCCGCTCATGCTGGCTGCTCTATTTGGCATTGTAAGAGTCCGATAAAGGACCTATCGACGTGTTTTTGGATGTTCTTTTCCGATATCTCTTCCGGTGTCTTTTCCAATGTCTGGTCAGATGTGTACAAAGGCGGTAAAAAGCACAAATCGTACAGACCTCAGAACATTTCTGTATACAACAAGCGACAAGGGATGATGTGAGGGGAGCAATGGAGGGAGATTGGGGGAACCTTTGATGTACCTACACATGTTGTACATACCGTGACCTTATTTGGAGACCCCTGGACCCTCTGTTTGTCATGTTTGTGAGCGTTTGGGATGTTTGGCAATTATATGACGTAGGAAATATCTGGGCGGGTGTGCTCTTATCACTCACCCGCCTTATCACTATACTAATACTCCATCCATTCTTAACATCCAATGACAACTTTGCAATACCTCAAAATCTTATTGCTCCGCAATTCGGAATTTGGCTTATCCAAAGTCTGCCGTGAGGGAATAGCCAGTGACAACCTCTTTATCATTCCCATCGTCCCACATATTCTCTCTCATATTCGATAGAGATTCGGTATACGCCGTTGACCGTCCACAATCTGGTCGGAAGGACTGGAACTTTTATTACCGGCCCAGATATATAAAGACTATCGTGTAGAACATCCTATGAGCATTCTATCTCGAGCTGTGAGCTTGAACACCTGAATAATCTGGAACCATGGCCGTGCTACCACTTACTGTCCGCCCACTTCAACCTCCTCCGGGCTCAAGCATTGATTTCGGTGCTGAGATTGAAGGTGTTGACTTAGAAAACCTAACTGGTTTGTGGATTATTGTCGACTTCAAGAGCACAAGCTAATGGTCATATAGAGGAGCAGTTTGGGACGATTCGGAAGGCCCTCTATGAACACCACGTCGTGGTATTCAAACACCAGAAAGGGCTATCACCTAAAGCCCAGTATGAGCTGACCAAGCGCTTCGACCCAGTCTCCGACAACTATGGACATGGCAAAACCATTGATGCGAAGAGAAGCATTCTTCATCCTGATCTCAAGACTGTCCCTCACCAGCCACAAGTGCAGGTGATTGGAAATGGACATGTTGATTCATACGAAGGTCTCAAAGATATCACATTACGACACCCTCACCACCGGACATTCCACCAAGATCACATCCCGGACGAGGAGGACTATGAATTCACCCGGTTCTATCGCTGGCATATCGATGCTGCACTTTACGACCTATACCCACCCCAAGTGACAACGCTTATGGCCGTGAGTGTGCCCAAGGGCCGCCGACAGACATTATTGTATGATGATGGAACCGGAGAAAAAATGGATGTACCACTTGGCACAACGGCGTTTGTTAGTGGCGAGCGGATGTTTGAACTTCTTTCACCCGAAGATAAGGAGTTTGTGAAGATGAGTAAAATAGAATATGCCCCACACCCGTAAGATCTCCCGTGATATGCCCATGGCTTTTATTAAACGAGCTAACCATTTGGACAGGTATATTTGGATGAGCCAAGCCCATTCCCGATCCACGGGGCTCGGTATGCACTCAGAAGGCCTTGAGTTACCTGACTCAGAACTGCCACCTATCGACCCTAGCAAGATCATGGTCTTCCCGATGACCTGGAAAAACCCAGTGACGGGCAAATTGGCTCTGCAGATCCACCCCTCTGCCGTGCGACGTATCCACTGCGCCGATGGAACCACGATCGACGACTTGGTCCGTGTGCGAGATATTGTCTATAAGTTGCAGCGGCCGGCCATCAGCCCTCAGTATGTATATCCACATGACTGGGAGGATAATGACTTGGTATTATTCAACAATCGTGGCGTGCTGCATTCCGTGGTCGGTGCGTTCAAGCCTGACGAGGTGCGATTGTTCCGTCAATGTAACTTGGCGGCTTCGGAGCCGCCGGTTGGACCGTGAGTACTTTTGATTTTGATTTAACGAAGACTATGTGTTTGTGTGTTTGTAAATATTGGGCATAATGGGGCATTTAACCGAATTTAACCTGGCTGGAAGTTTTTGTGCTTGATATCTTCAGGGCTAGAATAACATCATGAGTATTGAAATCTTATATATCAGATGATGCACATATGAACCCCATGTATGCATCTGCAAAAGGGTCCATGAGCGTATTGACAAGGATTATCGGACTATATAGAACCCGTTTACGGCAACTTGGCTATCTCTAAGCCCATCGGTGACAGAGCGAACTCCGACTAGGTGTAATGGAACTTGTTCTACCAACTTCTGTCCACGGGTGATGATATTAGTATACCCCTCGACCGTGCGATCGATCCAACTCGGGTTTTGTTGAAGGTCTGACATCGCCAGGTGTTCCGCGGCCCACGCAGGATGAGCCAGAGTATCTTGTACAACAGATGCGTCGTATACATCAGCGAGCAGGGCCGCCTCTGTAGCTGCCGCTTGCGCCTCAGCAAGTTCTTTGCTCGTGGTCCCAGTGGGCGGTGGGATTTCGGCGCGAAGGTATCCCAAAATACGAATCTCAATTTTGCTTGTTTGGATAGCAAAATCTTCAAGGAGGCGAATTGAGACCACGCGTTTCGATAGTTGAGCCATATTTACTCTCGCTGCCTGGAGGGGATCCAGCGCCCGCACAGACAAAATAGCTGGGCCCCATTCATCAGTCTGGAGACCTTTGTTCGACCCAGTATCGAATCGAGCCCAGCCGAAGAAGTAGCCCCTTAACTGCTCCGTCACCCAGTCGGGCATTCTAATTAAGCTCAACTTTGGTATGTCTTCAGGGTTGTTGGGGTACAAAATTTGATCGGTTTGACAGCGAGCTTTGAATGTCATAGGAAATGGTGGCTGAGGACCGACATCGATAGAAACCGGGCTGCTTCCAGCTATTTCCGGCGCTGCTGGATTTATCTGAGATCGCCCAATAGGACCTTTAGGGCCATTGATAATACCACCCACGCGGTTCTCGATACCACTAGTCGTGTAAGCCTTTTGGACCGCATTCTTTGTCACCCACGATGGACGTAACGCAGCAGCTTTGGCTTGAAGCGGGGCAGCTTTGGCTTGAATGGCCATGGCGGCCGGACCTGCCGCGGTTCGCGCTGCAGTTTGGGCGTAAAGGCTCACAATCATAGCCCCAACCTCTAGAGGCAGCGTGCTCAAGCTCGCGCCACGAATAGAGCTAGGGGCAGTGGACGTAGAGAGCACCCGGAACACGGGGCTATTGCCAAGCACCTTCTTCTTGGGCCCTTGGCAGAGGACTAGCTGAAAATAACCATCGCCGGCCTCAGCAGGAATCCGCACAACGGCGGTTTCCCGTAGCTGATGTGTATCGCGCGGACGGGGCGGGGCCTTTTTTCGAAATTTCTTGATATCGCGTTGCCAAGCTCGTTCATCATCTGGAGTCACCTGGTCGGCCCTCAATGGCATACTCGGGGTCACATCTAGCCAGCTATCTCGGAGACGGAGGAACGACTTGAATTGCATCCCGGTCTTCCCGGTCCAACCTTTGCTCTGCAGCCACAAGGTGTGCTCAGGTGGCAAGGGGGCATCAGAGAAGATTGATATAGCGACTGATGTAGTGGGCCCACGGTAGAAAACCAGTCCATGAGAATGTCGCAAAATCGTAACATGCTTGTTTGATTCTGTCGGACGATTGATTAGACCGGTGAGGAAATGCCGGGCTTCGCTGTATGCCTTTTGAACAGGCGTCGGCTGCGGAGGAGTCGGGGATGAAGCTGGCCCTGCTGTCCTTGGCCGCGGCAGTAAGCCCGGACTTACAGGCCTGGGGGGTGGTGGTCCATAAAGGTCCGTATATGATGGGGGCTGTGATGATGGGGGCACAAGAGACGATGTACTGGCAGCATAAACAGTTGCTTCCCGCTGATCGGCCGCCGTACCTCGCAAGTTCGGGTTTGACACGGGTTTCCGTCTAACGCGAAATGATTCTGGCGGATAACTGGGGCTTAAATAACCAGATGACATTTTCTACATGATCCTCGAGGAGTACAACATACCCGGCCCAACTGTTCATTTTTAAGGGGCGTAATGGCCAAGAATGATGATTGGCCCGAGCTTGATTGCGGCCTAAGGCATAAAATCAATGCCTGATATTGGATATAAAAACCTCAACAACCTGAACAGTTGTCGAAGAAGATTCCAGGTCCAAAATGCTATTTATTTGACTCAACTCGTATTTGGGTGAGTACTGCTTCCAGTCCCCATACCGTGTAAACATCGCAAGAGTATAACTCTCCAAGACACTGTCAGCCCTTTGAGCGCGCATATACCGTCCCATCTCCTTTTAACTACAGTTGACTCTTGTTCATCTCCGACATTGGTCCGCTGATTTACTATTGAGCAAGCTTGTAGAGTGCTCAATCTCATTGTGTGAAAAACAAATATTCATGATTTTCACCATTTCCGCAGCTGCCACTGTCAGCTTGAACATCTTTCAAGGATTATAAGCAAGTATACCTGATATTCTATCACCGGCTGCATCGTTTTCATCACGTCCATTCATCCGAGTGTAGTGGAGGACAAGGTCGACCCGTGGCCGACGACCCGTTTGATACATTTCAAGTCGCACGGGAATATCGTGCGGTGTACTGCCACAAGGAAGCAATGTGGCGACGCTGACAGCATCTTCAATTGCCATAGCTGCCCCCTGTCCCATGTCTATTGAGTTGTCAGTGTATGTCACGCATTCGGTTTGTCAGGTTGAAGCTATTCAGTCGCTTACATGGCTGGAACGGATGTGCTGCGTCTCCCACAAGAGCAGCATGACCTCGAGTCCAGGTCGGCAGTGCATCCATATCGTACAGATCCCATACTTTGAGGTCTTTGTCCGCACTTGCGATGATTTGTTGAACACTGGGTGCAAACTTAGAAAAGGCCTTGACAATGGTAGTCTTGTCTCCAGCTGCCTGCCAGCCTATTAATCCCAATTTGTCAGTGTCTCTCTATGTTAACCCTCGAAGAAATCCCTTACTGTCACCTTGTTTATCTGCCTGAATTTCATCCAAAGGGACAAAAGCACAAAGATTGAGGATTTTGCTATCAGAGCAAGGGTAGGCCACGAGCCGCCGGTCATCAGATGCCCACTCAATAAACAAACCGGTGTCTCGCACAAAATCCACAGTGCTTGCATGTTGCCTTAACTGATCTGTGGGAAGAAGCCAACGAAAACATGACTTGCCGACGGGGTATGGAGAGGGAGATCCCGGGGCAATACTGTGACGAATTTGGGACTATAAATCAGTCAGAACAGGGAGAATCAGATAAACATCGGTGTTGATAATCTGATATTCATACATGCAGTCCATCTGCACCAAGGAGCAGGTCGGCTTTGAAAGTGCGACCATCATCGAGAGTGACCGACGGGCAAGCCCCTTCCACATTGACCTCGGTGATTCTACACCGTGTATGCAGCGTTGCAGTCTCAAGGGCACGTTGCTTGAGGTGATTGTGTAGCTCAACTCGATGCACAAGGTACCACTCCTATGTCAAAATTAGAATTGACCCAGCTAGATCCGCTTCATTCGCCTACTGCTTGCCAATGATGACGGGTGTCAGCGAACTCTCTCTTGTACATCAACTCCCCGTCAAATCCATATCTGTGTATCTGGAGAATGCAAAAAAAAAGATCAATTTAAACCACTCTTCTAGTCAAGAGACGAATCTGACCTCATGAAGTAATGTGCCCCCGAAATCAGCCGGATCAATGCCCATCCAGCGTAGCAAGGCAGTGCAATTTGGCGGCAAATGAACTGCGGCACCTGTCTCCTTCAAAAAAGCCGATTTTTCTAGAATCTAAGTAGGGTAAGAAATTGACTGTACAGCAAGCTTGATAGTTGTTTCCGGGGAAATACCACAACATGATGCCCCTGTTTTCCAAGGGCAATAGCTGTCGAGAGACCAGCAATACCGGCGCCGATGATGAGGACTTGAAGAGGCTGGTATGAGGTTGTCATAGTGAAGAGCCTGTGGAATTTGCAGATATATTGACTTGTCTCCTGTCACAGATCTCTGGGATTTATAGCGCTAGGCTCTCTCATCCGCGTTCCTGATTTGGAAATCCCCGACACTTATCTCCGAGTAGCCTAAGGGAAGTGGATTCTTAGATGCTGCTAGATCGTCCTTGTAATCTTGAATTATGGAAATTTGGGGATGGAACGGAAGACATCGGATGCACAAAAAGCGTTGAATATTGTTGGGTCGAGGTGATCGACACTGCATTGTTGGGCACATTCTTCACCTTCGCATCTTCCCCTTCTACTATATCCAGGCCAGGAAGGGAAAAGAATACATGAGTCAAGGTAGTATGATCATAGAAATTCACAACCCATGAAAACTGTTCTTTGAATTGGAGTCTCATAGTACGGTTCAATATCCACAAATCCATATTTCCGATACAACCGTTGTGCCGCTCTCATTTCAGGGAGTGTGTCTAGGCGCATCCCGCGGTAGCCCAGATCTCTAGCTTGCGCAAGGATCGCTTCGACAAGTTTTTCACCCAGACGTTCTCCGCGAGCTTCCTTGAGAACATAAAGACGCTTCATCTCGCACCAGTCATCAGAGTTGCGCCGCAGGGCCACACATCCGAGGGCAGAGGGGAACTGCGGGGAAGATATTAAGTCGACTAGTCCGTTCGTATTATATCCTCGAATACCCGTGCCCACCCGTGCGATCAAGAGAGACCCCCCTTGTGATGGGGCATATTTCCCTGGGAGGGAATCAAGTTCCTCTTGGAACGATTGAAAAGTGAGGTCAATGCAGAGGGATGCGGCATAGCCAAGAAATAATGAGAGGATAGAATCGGCATCTTCGGGGAATTGTGCCGGTGATATTTGGATATTCATGATAAAGAGGAAGATGAAGGATGAAGTTGAGATGTTCAAACATCAACTGTCTAAACTTGAGGTTGACAGGCAACCTCGATGACTCATGAGTCATAAGTTGCCGTTCACCATTCTCGTGTTCAGTCAAATAAGACAATAGCCCCATCTCACGAGAGTAATGGCTGTGATCATCATTGGTTTCTTTGGATAAATTTCGGTAAATTGAAGTTAAACAAACATGCCTCCCAGTCTATTGATTGTAAATGTTCCCTTGTCTCGCTGAATATCACCCATTGTACAAAACGCCAAACTCATCAACTCCCAAATCAAAAGGCCTCCCATGGATATATACATATCACATTACTGGTAGGTAACAGAGAACTCAGTGTCACTCTGGATATCCACATGGGCCTTCACGTTGCCATTCTGCTGGATATCCAGAACGGCAGCGTTTTTGACACCATACTTCGCACCACCAGCCTCGGCACGGGCACCGGTAAAGTCGACCTTGCCGAAGTTGACCAAGGGAACCATGGTGTTACCGGTGTTGAAGTCCTCGACTATCCATTCGGCATTTTGGCCAGCAAGGGTGGCAGAGCTCGAAGGTGCAGACAGAGTCTTGGTAACATTCTGGCCGCTCGACTTATTCTCGATGATGGCAACACCCCTGCTGGGCGAATATGTCTCGACCTTCGCGACGATCACGTCGCCTGCGGACAATTCGAGGTCAAAGTTCTCCGCACTTAATGGATACCACTCGTACCACGCGTCAAATGTCTGTTTGCCATCCTGGATATAGGCATCGATACCAGTCTGTAGAATGGCCTTGGTATAAGTGTCACCATCAATACCAACCCAGGCGGATACAGCCTGCATATTACCAGAGTCATCGGTGGCCGTTGGCTCGGGGACGGTGAATGTTGCAGACACAGCGGTGTAGGTAGCACTGGCGGGTGGTTTCTCACGCACGACCCCGGCCCAGTTCTTGCTATATTGCACATTGGCTCCCTCAGTTCCCTCCTTGAGCAGAACGCCCTTCTTTTCAGCGGGTAGTGACTGGCGTGACAGAGCGCCACGGGCCTGCAGGCGATCAACAAGGCCGCTGCGAGGGGCAGCGAGAGAGTTGCCTGCTAGTATAGCGGCAGTCAAAATCGTTGTGGTTGTGAACTTCATATTGATGGTGACGGTAGTGGAATTGAGCAGATCCTAGAACGGTATAGATAACAACGAGATGAAGCTATGACATGACTAGCCTGGTATCTCTTGAACTTAGCCTTCATGGTACTTATACCCAACATTTCATGTACGTTGCATGCGGCACGACATCGTGCCTAATCCGCATGGGGAAACGGAGCTCGTGGCGTGGTACTGATGACCCAAGGCACCAAATGAGACGCAATTATGGACCCGCCAGAGTGGAGTTATGGAAAGGGAAGATAATCACTCTTATTCCTGGCATCTGAGTAGCGTCAATCAACAGGTTTATGACCTGCCATTCGCTCTTCTCTCTTTCTCACTGATTGCTCATTATCCAGGCCAAGGTCGTCTTTCCGTTATCATCATGAGGTGCGAAGCCTGAATCAAATGAGCAGCTCAGCCGAGCTTGCTCGTTTTTGTGACAGGCACATTCCTAGAGACAGAAACATCTGACAGCGGAGCCACGACGGATCAGACGAAGATCAGCGACTCCCGATGTCCGCCACGAGATTCACCGAATTGAAGTGGCACGCATCCCATTGAGGATTAAAAATTAACATTGGATGCAGTGTCCATATTTCCAGGATTTGTGGTTATTCCATATTTGCGGATTGTATGTGACCACTTTGTATTGTTGGCCCTGGCATTCTCAATGCATCTACCGATGCTCACGATCCTTCTTCTAGAAGACGTCACAATCAGTCGAACAAAACACAACTAAACGGGCTCGAGTGATAGAGAATTTTTGAAATAGAATCACTCAAGAGAGCGTGCGTGCAATGTCACCTGGGTGCGGCTATGCATACGTGGATACTGAGCAAGGGATGACAACGTGTTCACATTCCTGAGTCTGCCGTGATCGAGAGTCCGGGAACAGTACACCCTGTGAGCAGTGGTCGCTTGACACGAAGCCAACTATTTTCGTGCACTGGCTGCCAGATCAAACTGTATGACTCTCGTGTTGAACTAGTATTGACGAAACAGAAGCAGATCCCTTGGAAACAGGACAAAACTGTCTTTTTTCAAGGGCAAATAGGAAATAAGAAGGGCCCAATTAATTCAAGGGGATGTAGTCTTGAGATAAAAGTCATAATATGTTCCTGAAGTGAAATCTGTAAAACTTGCCTTCAACTGTAAGTCCTTGCCTCCATTCTTTAGCATCACATAGGAAGCCGACGCATCTCGGCAAGAGACCAGAACTTGCGCATGTTGGCAGCTCCAAGAGTTTGAACCTCTTGGTCCAAGTGTGTCCACAGAACCTTGCCAAACCCTTCCATCAACCGCTTGACCTCTTCGCGACGCAAATCTTCCTCGCCGGACCGACACTTCTCAAGATACTTTTCGAGTTTCTCAAGTCCCGCATGAATTTGTCTGTGCTGACTCAATAGCTCGAGCTCCTTTCGAAACTCGGGCATTTTCTTCGCCAACACGGGGAAGATGTGTTGCTCTTCGATGGAGTGATGGAAATCCAACTGCGAGCAGAATTGAAGGCCCATCATGATCATCTGGCGGGCCGAGAGTCCCCGTTTTCCAGAGCTTTCGCATGCCTCCCAAAGCTGATTCCATGTTAATCGGAAATGGCTGTGCTGCATGAAAGTTAGTGGAATTGTGCAAATAAAAGTACCTAAGGTATACAAATGTATGATAGTAAGCTTACAAATCCTTCCATTTGCTCCGCCATGCGATTATAAGTCCGGAAATCATTTGTGGACAATGGAGAGTCGCCCGAATCCACAGAAGAAGAAGAAGAGGTCATATTGCCAAAACCCATTGGATTGAGGAGGCTTCGAGGAAGAAAAGCTGGCTGAGGGATAGATGTCAAAAGTAATTGGCGAGGAAAACGAAAATGCATGGGACGGCAGTTGGAAGCAATTTATTGCCGGAAAATAAAAGATATAGAAGACACTAGTACGGAGTAATGCGAACAGGCAATTTGGGGTTGATGTGAAAGCAGAAACTTCTGATTAGGGGCCTTGTTCTCCAGATCTGTCTATTTTTAGTTATCTTGGAAAAGTTCAGGACGAGAATTAGCCTCCTAAGGCTGATTGGTTCTATTTCTTACAAACATATAAATTTACATATACGGGATATTCCAGATCTTCAATGGATGTTTGCCACCTCGGGCGAACCGTTGGACAAAGATCTAGTACTCACTGGCTAGGGAGATAAATCTCCATTTCGATATAAGCACTTCTTCGGCACGACCTTGGCCATGGAAGTGCCGAATCGCAATTTGACATCCGTGCTGGGAAGACTAGTGGGTTGTAATTGGGAAGATTAGTAAATGTGCTAGGTGAAAGAAGAAAAAGTTATGTTATTATCATATCAATACACATCGGGGGCACCGGGAAGGGGCGAGAAAATAGTAAGACAATATGCCGCCGAAAGGGGGAATCGAAAATATTAGACAGTAAAAGGTCGTAACGCCGTGGATGTGAGAATAATAAGACAATCAAAGCTCTGGGTGTTCAAGCTGGTTCTTGACTGGCGGCCGGAAGTGGCCGGACGTGATTTCCTTGAAGGCAAGGTCGAACCGAGCGCCCATCATCCAGGCGGCGAAGATCATGACACTAGCGATAACAACAACGATAACGCCCATGAGAGCCATCATGAAGTAGACATCATTCTTGTTTTCGTCGTCTTCTTTCTTTTTCTGTAGCTCGGCCGCAGTGAGCTCACCAGAGACTTTGCGGTTGGCGGCCTCGGCGGATTGCGTCGGGAAGATGGTCTCAATGAACTTCTCGATCTGTCCGCAGACAATACTGATCTTCAGGAAGTTGGGATCCTTGGGGGTGTTCTTCTTGTGAATTTTGCGCGTATACTGGCGGAAGCTGTCGCACAGGACTGACAAGTTTTGTGTAGACTTGTGCATAAGATCACACGCATCTCCCTTGGTGATCTTAATATTGCGCTTGAAGATCTCGGGGTTGCGGAAACACAACTCCATTGTGGCTATGGCCATGGACTGCGGGATTGCGCAGAAGTTGAAAACACTCTGCTCTCGCAAACCAGCCAGATAGAACAGGCACTCCTCGGCATGCTCCAGCGCGTTGAGGACCATCTCTGAGCTGCAGTTAAGCGCTGCATCGAGGTGCTCTGGCTTGAAGAGATCCTCGAAGTTGTTAACATGCTTGGACCAAATTTCCTGGGGCCAGAATCGTCGGTTGTCATCAAAGTCCTCCCGAATGTCACGGATGATGTTGGTCTTCTGGAGGAAAAGGCCCATTGACTTGTGCAGCTTGGGGCGCTTCAACAGAGCCGGGTTACCAAACCCGGCCTCGACAAAGAGGCGAGTGAGGCCCTCGCCAACCAAACCAGCGACATAGTAGCAGTACAGATCATACTCCTCCTTGGTCTTCACACTGGCGTCGTCGTTCTCTGCCTTCACGGCATAGTCAGCCATTCCATTCCCCATCTTCTCGGTGATGTCCTTGATGATAGCCTGGTATTCAGGCTTCATGTTCATGAACTCAGTGATGACGTGGTTGAACTGAACCAGCAGCTCACGGTCCTTCTCCTCCGGTCGATTCCCAGTGAAATTCCAGCCATCTTGCGTCAGGATATCCTTGAACTCCCGGAGGAGAGGCTCTTTGGTAACCAGGGGAATAGAAGTATCATCCTCAATGGTATCCAGCCCACGGAGGACCAAGTAGAAAATGCAGATAGGAATCAACAGTTCGGGATGCAACTCCTTGATCACAGCACTGAAGCTGCGGCTTGTTTTGTCCAAAAACTTGAAACAGATCTTCTGATTCTCGGTCTCGTTTTTCTCGTTGCGCTCATGGGGCGGGTTGTGCCAGACTTTCCTATACGACGTGGATGATTAGCTCCACATGCTGAAGATGAATTTCGCAAACTTCACGACATACCATTGGAGGATTGACCTCAGCTGCATGGGGTGAAAGGAGTAGTAGAGAGCATTGCCGATGAGACCCATGATGGGGTGGGGGAGAGGCGCGTAAGCCAAATATTCAAGGAATTGGTACAAGGCAAGGTAGCCCAATCTTCAACTAGTGAAGCAAAGTGGAAACAGGATCCAGGATAAAAGGAATTGGAGCCGAGAATAAAAACAACAAACAAAAATAACAGAACCTGGGGGAACGGCAGATGGGGGGGAGGGAAAAGGGGAAAAGGCCAGAGCAGATTAAATGAAGAGTTAGCTGGCACGTGACTGAAGCAAACCATGCATACAATTTCCCCCACATGATATCAGCGCCAACTTCCGAAAAATATCTTGAGGTTCTGCCTAAACAACACAGGTCTATTGTTTTTTTCCTGCAGACCTTTTGAATCTTTTGAATCTATATCTTCACTCAACCCACTTCGCTCTTAAGTTAGGCTCGGTCGCTGCGATGGTTGCCGATACTGCCTACTACGACGCCCTAGGTGTCCCACCTACGGCCACCGAACTGGAAATCAAGAAGGCTTACCGCAAGCTAGCTATTGTCACTCACCCCGGTATGACCGCCTCTGGCTTAATATTCCTGTGCCAGTCCTTCTAATCTAGTATCGCAGACAAAAATCCCGGAGATGAAACCGCACACGAACGCTTCCAGGCGGTATGATTGCGCAAACCCAGAAATGATGCATATCACAGGAAGCTGATATCCTGCTATTATAGATCGGTGAGGCGTACCAAGTCCTGAGCGACGAAGATCTCCGAAAGCGATATGACAAGTTTGGCAAGGAGGAATCGGTGCCTGGTGGTGGTTTCGGTAGGTCAATCACATGCATGCTAATGTCCGGCACAACGTTTATGATTTGTCTTGTACAGAGGACCCGTCCGAATTCTTCAGCATGATCTTCGGCGGCGAGGCCTTTGTTGATCTTATCGGCGAAATCTCCCTGATGAAAGACCTCACCGCGACTATGGACATCACGATGCAGGAAATGGAGGAGGAAGAACTTGCCCAGACCGCAGAAGAAAAACTCAACATCCACGACGAGGAGGTGAAGGCTGCAGCTGGCGATTCGGCTTCTCCTTACAAACCCCACGACCCCGCAGCAGGGGCCGCCGCCAGCCTCTCTGAGAAGCCAACCTCCGACCAGAGCTCTGGCACCAGCACTCCTCGACGAAACTTTGGCCAACAGGCTCTCATGGACAAATCCGAAGAAGAAGCTCGCATGGAGGCAGCCGGTCTGTCTCAGGAAGAGAAGGAGCTGCGCAAGAAGGAGAAGAAGAAGGGTCTGTCCAAGGAGCAGCAGGAACGCCTTACTGCCTTCGAGGATGAACGCAGAAAGGCTCGGGAAGATCGTGTCAACACACTGGCAAACAAGTTGATTGATCGTTTGAGCGTATGGACTGAGACGGACAAGGGGAAGGATGTGTCCCATGCCTTCGAGGAGAAGATCCGACTTGAGGTCGAGAATTTGAAGATGGAATCTTTCGGTCTCGAAATTCTCCACGCTGTTGGTCAAACCTACGTTCAGAAGGGCACTTCCTTCCTCAAGTCACAGAAGTTCCTAGGTATCTCTGGCTTCTTCTCCCGCTTGAAGGACAAGGGCACCCTTGCTAAGGAGACATGGACCACCATCTCCACAGCCATTGATGCGCAGATGACTATGGAGGAGATGGCTAAGATGGAGGAACGCGGCGGTGAAGACTGGACTGACGAGAAGAAGGCTGAATACGAGAAGAGGGTCACTGGCAAGATTCTCGCTGCGGCGTGGCGTGGCAGCAAGTTCGAGATCCAGAGTGTCCTGCGTGATGTCTGTGACCAGATTCTGAGCGATAAGCGGACCCGACTTGAGAAACGCATTGAACGTGCGCATGCACTGGTGATTGCCGGCAATATCTACGCGAAGGTATATATACGTCTTTTCCATATATTAGGTACCATGCTAACCACTGGCTTCTAGGCCGCACGCGACCCCGAGGAAGAGGGCGATTACATGGCCTTCGAACAGCTTATGGCCGAGGCAATGAGCAAAAAGGGCAAGGATGAGAAGGACAAGGACAAGAAGAAGAAGAAGTCCAAGCACGACCATGAGGAGACCCACAGCGGGAAAGAGCCTGGGGAAGAGACCACTGTTTGATTGCCTCATTATCCATCTCATTTTTCTTTTCTCATTTTTTTTTGGGTTGAGTTCCATCTCGTACCTTGTTTTTCTTGATAGCCGGTTCATTATATCCTGGACATACATGTTGGGTTTGCTTTTTACTTTTTTCTCGGGCTTAACGATTCTGCTTTTCGCGGCGCCTGCATGGTTGCGAGTTGCGATGTGCAGTTTGTTCGAGCGATAGATTGAACTATATACCTCCCATGCCATTTGATTAGTCGCAACAGCACGGCAGCGGTTTGATGCGGATTGTATGAACATAGGTGCTCTTGATGATCACATTGAAACAAATATTGACATGACATATTCCAAGGTTATTAGTACTGTAGGTGGTATAAGGTCGAAAATACGCAGAAGATATAACCCACTCCCGATGACAATCATTACTATTCCTTTCAAAGACGACAATAAACACTACAGGGAGAGACCGGATCAGACTGCGACGATTATGCTGGGCTGATCCCGGGCGGAACTGTATGGTCCTAAGTCCCACACTGCTAAGGGCGAGGGTGAGAAAGTGCTAAGCGCTTGGCAGTTCGCCTGTTCATCAAGACCGTTAGCATCACAACATCACAATTTCCATGAAACTACAGAATTCGTACTCATTGGCGCTTCATGAGCAGGGTCAGCACTAGTCTGGTGCGCAGCAACTTCGTTCTCCTTCCTGAGAGACTGATACCCAGCCCAGTCAGACACCAAAACACCACACATGGCAAGAATGGTGAATACAACGAGGGCAACAAAGAGTAGCCTAGATATGAGTTGAACGTCAGGTCAGTTCCTTGCACCGCGTGTGGATTGTCTGGAGATTCTCGGGGAAACCTACCAAAGGAGCACGCCAAAGGCAAGCACAGCATTGTAGTAGGGATTTAAACTAGTACCACCACCAAGGAGACTGGCGAGGTCAGCGAAGCATGCCAGCCAAAATACCATAGTGACGAAGTAAATGGCCACGAAGGTAGCGGCGAGAACAGTGTTGAGCTTTGCGGTCACGAAGCCCTTGCGAGTATAGTACCAGGGCAGCGCTAGGGCGGCGACTGTCACAAGAATAGTCCAAACTGAAGAGAAGACAAGGAAGACGAGGATGGCCGGAGGTTCCACATTGATTTGACCGTACGAATAGCCCGAATATGCGTTCCAGGTCGTGATTTCTTGCGTGCCAGAATATGCGGCAGTAATGAAAGCCGAGAGGCCCAGCTCAACGATGGCAAAGGCCAAGGAGGTGCCCAATAGGACATACAAGACAATACTAAGAGCCAGCATAGTAAAGTCGATATAGCTAGTATATAGCTATTGTGGAGGACTCTGCAAGAGTATCGAGATAAAGACACAAATGTTCTCGAAATACCCCCCAAGGGCAGGATCCCTTCCGCTTTATGATTTTTTTCCACATGCTCATGATGGGGCTCGTAATTGGAAACAATGCAGGAGAAGCCTTATTTACAGCTTCTACGGAGTATATTCTAAGCCAATTGATATGGAGCTCAGCGCCACCAAGAGGTGTAAACTCCACTGCCTCGTGTCTGATACGAGCAGCCGTATAGACAGGCTGACCCGAATTAGTACAAGGTAAGCGAATGGGTGTTTAGGGATTATCATACTTCATATGTTGTATAGATTACGGAGTATATGTTGTAGAGTTGAAGATTCATTCCCTCAAAGCATACGGAGTACGGAGGAGTACTCCGTACAGCGTTAGGGTTGGCAGTGGGTTAAGAGATGTCATGTGCCGTGTTTTCCTCCTTCGTTTCTTTCCCCTTCGTTTCCCCTTCGTTTCCCCTTTTCTCTGATGCATCACGCCTGCACCAAGTTGATACGAATTCAAAGCCTAATTAGTGATAGTTAGCCCCACACCCTATCAACCTTGAAAATCTCGTATTTCTCCGACTTTTGTGTTCCCATGATCTGACTCGGCTTAATAGGACCTTGAACTTCACCGGGGGTTAAGCATTTCCCCACACCCTGTGGACGGCCTTGGCTATCAAAATCTCGGGAATCACCGCAACTCAAAGAGGTTAATCTTTTCCAATATACAACATACAAAATACAACATTATGATAGTTCTAAGGTCACATCGTGCCGGATTTAAACGGCGAAAGGGATCCTACGCGATTCCACACAAGGAAAGAGACTTGGTCGATCCCCGTTTCCCCTCTCCACAGGGCAGATAACATGCCATATGATAAGTCGGCGATTCCTTGCAGCAATTGTTTTCAACCCTTTTTTTCGTGTCTAGGGAAAACAATAGCATCAGTATGGCGTCTCTACACTCATCTGCCATAGCCCTGTTGGCCCTTGCGGTAAGCACTGCTGCAATTGCCTCAAGCTCTGCGGCCGCAGCTGGCCCCACCGGTCTCTCATATCCGTCCGGGTTTGATATGAAAACAAGCTGGGCTAACCTCAGCCCTTATACCGATGCATCAGGTTTCAATGTCTCCAAGGGTTTTCCATTGGAGTGTGAACTGTCGCAAGTGCATGTGCTACATCGCCATGCCCAGCGATATCCGACACAATGGCCTCTCGATGGGGAAGGCATGGAGAACTTCGCCCAGAAACTTATCAACTACACCAAGAAATATCCCAATAAGAAGATCGGCTCTGGATCTCTGGCTTTCTTGGACGATTGGGAGTATATGCTTGGTTTAAACACTCTACTCCCCACTGGCGCCGCTACCGAAGCCACTTCCGGTGCGCAATTCTGGAGTCAGTACGGCCGATTGCTCTATCGCGCAAAAAATGGTGATGCGGCTTGGGATGCATCGTTGAACGTGTATCCCAATGGTACCGCGCGTCCAAAGCCGACTTTCCGCACCACCTCGTACCCCCGGATTTTGGAGAGTGCTCGCTGGTGGCTGAGTGGCTTCTTTGGAAACACGGGAGGCAACAGCTCATACTCAGAGTACAATCTGACTATTATCCCCGAGGTTGAAGATTTCAACAACACTCTATCATCAACCGAGTCCTGTCCCAATGGCATGGAGCCGGGTGACAATGCCGCCCAGGTGTTCGCGTTGTCTTTTGTCAAAGACGCCCGGAAGCGCCTTGCTGCACACCTTCCCAAGGACTTCAAGCTCGATACCGTGGACATCCTGGCGATGCTTAATATGTGCCCCTACGAGTATGCGACTCTGGGTCGATCATCTTTCTGTGCGCTCTTCACTGAGCAGGAGTGGCGCGACTTTGAATACTACATTGATCTCCAATTCTACGGTGACTACGGCTTCGGTTCCCCTAGTGGTCGCGCCCAGGGAATTGGATATGTTCAGGAGCTGGCAGCGCGCCTGCAGTCCAAGCTCATCCCGAGCAGTGACAGCAGCATTAACTACACATACGATGATAACACTAAGACTTTTCCGCTCGACCAGCCACTGTACATGGACATGTCTCACGATGATATTATCGTGTCCGTACTGGCTGCTTTGGGCTTGGACTACTTCAAGTACGGCCCTCATGGCCTGCCTGTCTCGGTTACACACGCCCCGCCCCGCACCTTCAACCTGAACCAGATGACTCCCTTTGGTGCTCGTCTATTCTCTGAAGTTTGGACCTGCCCCAAGGATGTTTCTTTCAAGTACTTACAGGTGCAGAAGTACAAGAACCCGGATCTATCATCCAAGTCCGACACTACTGACTACATCCGATTTGTGTTGAACAATGCGCCCGTGCCTCTGGATGGTCTGAAGGTCTGCGATGGATCCGTGAATGGGTTCTGTAAGGTCGGAAAATTCCTCAGCGCTATTCCCGATCTCAACAAGGAGGCCATGTACCAGGAGGCTTGTTACGGGGACTATAACATCACCAGCCAAGTAGGCAATGGGCAACCGAGAAAGCCTTGAATTGGGATATGCAGTTTGCTCATAGCGGTGCAAAATTCACCCGGCTCTGATCTTGGTGATCTAGATAGGTGTACATTTTCTTATAGACTCTAGCAGCAATAGACCGCCGTACCTAGATGGCTTGCTCTAGTGGGCATCTGATAAAATCCTAGTATATAAACAAGTTTGAGACTTTCTTCTTCCCTCCTCTCCCGTCTGCTATGTCCCCAGAAACAATTAACGTGGGCAATATGACGTTGTCCGCGACTAGAAATCTCAGAACGCAGGCCGTCACAAAAGATGTTGTGTGGATGAAGGTTGCTTTTCGTGATGCCAGACTGCTCGGCTTTTCTACAATGGGCAAGGGTGGTGAGTGGGAGAGACTATACGAGCTTCCCCCTGAGATTTGTCGCCATATATAGACGTTCTATGGTTGGGGATAGAGTCACACATCGAGGATTCCTTCTTGTGACCACCTACGAGGGAATAGCCACCCATCAAAAGTATTTGTATGACCCCACGGCTATTCGCCATATAAATCAACCGTTACAACATGTATCCTCATTAGGTACCGAAGTGGAAAGACTTGGCCAAGCCTGGTTTGAGGGGATACGCAGGGGAGTACAGAGACACAGGGGATGTATATATCGTACGATGTCGATTCGAATTCCTCCGACTGAGATACCCGAGTATGTTTTCGATCAGGCTGATTCGTGAAGATCTGATTGGATCTCAAATATCACCCCAAATCCGGCATAGAGGGGTTGGATGGTTGAATGATTCGGAGTTGATTGCAAACCTCGGTATACTTGACTACACGGTTCTCTTGTACAGTTCAATGCAGCTTATAGGTCACACCCATATACACAAATTTATGCAGTTGCAATGTGAGATTTCCCCGCGCGAGCCTATATTCCTCGGTCCGCTCGTTTTAACATGAGACCTAAAGTATTGTACTTCACGACTTGACAGATATTCATCGTCATAAAGGCTAACTATTGATAGAAGAATGAAATATATAAGATGGAGTAAAGTGATTTGATCTTAGTAGAAACCATTTCCATTCGAAGATCTTTCAAATATATGTCTACAAAGTTATTCTCATTGCGTTGATATAGAGATGACATCACTCCCTATGTCTAGTACCAAGGATGCCACGCCATTTAACTCCTTATTACAAGCCTCAGCGTATCAGCAGATAATTTGTGGGCTACTAGGACTAGCAACGTATCTAGCGTTGGTATCTTCACTACGATTCCGACGACAGAAGACACTCCACAAGAGATATAGCTCCTATGGAACGAGGCAATCCATGCGCAGCATGACCGATCAAGATGCCTGGACAATTCAAAAGATAATAATGCAGACCGAGTTTCCCTTTATTGTGCTTAAGTCACTGCAGTTTGCCCTTTTTCGTGTATGCGAAGCTCATACGAGTATATTACTGGACACTAACACGGGCAGACATATGGCATTCCAACCATATCCACCTTACTCCTGAAGACATCACAGTTATCAGACTCTGCAACGTCATTCAAACGATATGCCGACACAGGCACACTGATCGGCGAATTCATGGCGTTCGACCCACGCTCCGAGCGAGCGCAGACAGCAATAGCCCGAACCAACTTTCTGCACAAGGGCTACCGAGCGAGCGGCAAGATCGACGAAGCCGACATGTTATACACACTAAGTCTATTCGCCATCGAGCCAATTTGGTTCGTGAAACAATTAGAGTGGCGCGAGATGACTAAAATGGAACGTTGCGCTGTCGGGACATACTGGAAGAGTCTCGGTGATGCGCTGGGAATCAGGTATGACTCCTTGCCCTCTGGAAAGACTGGCTTCCAAGATGGGATTCACTGGCTGGAGGAGATTGGTGCATGGAGTGAGCAGTACGAACTCCAGCACATGAAGCCACACCCTCGCAATAAGGAGATTGCGAAAAAGACGATTGACGTGCTGGTGTATAATGTGCCAAACTTCTTGAAGCCGTTGGGTGGATACTTCGTGTCATATCTCATGGGAGATCGACTGCGAGCCGCGATGATGTATGTATTTTGGCTCATCACCACACATGTAGAGCCTAATGGGTTCGCTTTCTAGGATGGAAGAACCACCAGCATTCTTTAGTAGCATACTCGCCTTGATATTCAAGCTCCGCCAACTATACCTGCGATACCTGTCACTCCCACGCCCAAACTTCATGCGCTTGGACGTGTTCACTGATAAACCGAACAAACACGGCCGCAACTGGGTGTTGATATACGAAGGTGCTCCGTTCTACGTGCAGCCCACAATTTTGAACCGCTGGGGGCCGATGGCGTGGTTTAAGTGGGCGCTTGGGCAACCTTTGCCTGGTGATGACGGCGACAAGTATTACCCACAAGGGTATCAGACCTGTGATCTAGGACCGACGTATTTTGAGGGCAAAGGGTACAAGGAATT